GCACAGTCGAAGATAAACAATCCGTTGTAAAATAGCAATTAATTGGATTATAGGAATGATTAAGTGTTTGAAATGTTTATCAGGTCCAATAGTAGCGCGATTGGGAAAAACATTAGTTTAGTCAGTCGGAAACGGGACGCTCATTGGTGCAGTAATTGAAAACATTTGTTTACCACTTGACGCGCTATTTATTAAATAGCCATTGCAAAATAAAAAAGAAAGGGTACCGTCAAATGCGAACGCTAACGTAAAGGACGCCAATTCTCGCTTTCGAGACGCGCTACCACAGTTTAATAGGCAGACATAATAGAAATATCTCGTTCTAAGCATATCCTGTGCATATTCGTCAAGTGAACACGCGCGAGACTCGATGTGACTTTTGAGACCCAGTTCGGAAACGTAAGTAGATACCTCGTATTTTGTATTTAGTGCCAACTTTCTTGTGCTTTTCGTGCTATGTTAATCCACAATTTGGAAAACATTTACGAGCATAGTATGCTCGGACGCGTCTACGAAGCCAACAGCTTAGACTTTTTGTGTTGCCGATTGTTATTTCTATGTTATACATAGCTTTTATCGTGTGAGATGTCACAGTGGCAGCATTTTGAACAAACAACGATGCATCGACTCAAAGGCCTCATCAACTCCTGAAAAATGCGTCATCCGAATAAAACGCTGACGAAATGCTTATTTATGTTATTTTCTTCCTGTTCCTACTATCCTGAAGCGAGCATGGGACTCAGGAAGCGACCTGTTTTCAGATCATACGCTCTGACGAGGAAATTTCGCTTTTGAGAAGTGGACGTGCACGGCAGCGTATGTTAATCGGCTTTAGCTGGGTACCGTGTTACTTCTTTGCCGTTGAAATACTTGGTGTTTTCTGTGCTTTATTGTGCGCGGTATTTCGGCTTTATTTGTGGCTTTTTTGAAGCTTCCAATAACTTTTTTACTTGCAGTGTTCCAAATAGGGTTATGTATTTATTGTCTAGCACTCACCAATAAATCTCCTTTAGGTCTGCATTGTATTTTTGAGTCTCTCTGAGTTCACTCTTACGTTGCAACTATATACCACAGTTATTGTAGCTTGGCATACCATATAGAGTGGCTCTTTACTGCAAGTTCTACTGGTCAAGTGACCTGAACAGAAATATTATATTTTTGCTTGTTATACCGGTCCTGATGGGCCTGTGTGGCCTGCAAGTCAGGAGGCAGACCAGTGAGGCAGATTCAGCTATATTTCCTAAGTAATACAGTGTCCGATATTGAAGTTCTTAGCATATATGGCCGACATTCTCCGGTACAGTCTCCACCGCCGCATAGCCATCGGTCCCTGGACTGCTTTGTTCTCTAACGCGACGTTTGCTTATTTGTTTTAAATATTAGTCTTTAGAAGCACAGTATTTACAATGCCGTCCTGATGGTACGCTCCCTGCAGTGTTCCATATGCAGAATTGACGTCAAGGTGTTGTTGTTACGCCGTTATCTAGTTTCCTCAAACACTCGCAACTTAATTTCTAGAGGCAGCGAAGTATTAGATTATATCGAAACACGAGTCCCTTAATCCGCAAGACCTTACTGAATTGGATTTTTTTTTTAAATCTGTCTTCCACAAATTTTACTACACACTACATCAATGAGCAGAACTGTTCACCACTGTTCTGCGTATTCGTAGAGTCGTATTTTACAAATATATTGTTTCCATAAAAAGTAATTCTTTAGCCATAGTTATGCTGCAAATCATCGCGGGCTCTCTCTACCACATAACGGTCGAGTGTCGAATAGAAAATGTACCCAATCGCCCCAGAAAGGTGAGCGCCGCGGCAAGACTCCTTTCATTCATTAATAACAACGGATATAACAGGCGGATCATGGTCAACTGGTCAATGCGTGAGTCAGCAGTATGCTAATAAGGTTGCCCTTAATACTGTTTGCTCAATATGCTGGGTTTTTATATTGACATTTAAAGCAGGGCATGTTTATAATCCAGTCCCGTTTCCTGAGGCAGAAGCGAACGATTAAACGCCACGGATTAGGACTATCTCCATTTTCTGACAGAGCCGGACAAGAGTGATTTCAGAGTGATTGCAAAGGTCGCTAAAAAGTCACATGCGGGTGGTGAGGCGTTGCGTTCCAAGATTTTAATCTCTCACTAGCAAAAATATGCAAAACGTGTAACGTAAAACGTATAACACGTGTTCTTAGAAAGTAAGTATACCTAACCCCGTCACAGCTAAGGCAACCTGTGGGATGTAATTCGTTGTGTAGCGGGAACTGCGTGCAAGTTTCAAAGTTAGTTATATAGTTGTGAAAACATATGGGTGGCCTGCTGTTACACGAAATCACGCAATTTAACGCCTGCTTTTGTGTGAACGCAGCACTTTTTATAACCGACACGTCGCAGATACTTTTAGCGGCCCTGTCTAGCGTGACCTTAGGACAACCATACGGGGACCTTCGCTGAATGACCAATGTGTTCCAGAAATAGAAAACTCGAAAAGAGTCACACTACTGGTGACACCGTACGATTCATGTAAACCGTTTTAGAAATTGAATAGATCGCGTTAAAGAGGACTTCTTTTTTCTTATAGCAACGGATCTACCTCGAATCGTTGCGCCTTTCGAGGAGAAAGATCCATTAAGTGCAAACAAACAAACAACGATGGAAGTCCTCTTTGTGAACGGAAACCGATGCTTGGTTACCGAGTAAAATCTCATTCATGATTCTACATCTGTGCTCATTGGAATACGACTGTTAAACTATACGGAACTTTATAGTGGGCTAAGCTCGTATTGTTTTTTGGAAATTACGGTCTTTCATCTGGTCTCCGACGAACCCACTTACCAGAACAACAATAAGGTTAACATTATGTACGAATGTACTTCTATGCTTACATAGGTACACATTGATATGTAGAATTCTGTCTGACTGTCACTGGCTTCTTCCTCTCATAAAAAGCTCCCATATCCCAGAGAGTAGAATACCATCGCGTCGAGCTGATCAGCAACGACATCTGGAATCAACACTCACAACCCTTTGGACGCGACCCAAACCCACTTCATTAGTAAATTGGAAATTGTCGAAAAGCTCCTGGAGTGTCAATGTGAAACACGTGAGTCAAACGTTAATGTGTACTATGTTTTTCGATCTCGGATTGGATTTCAATGAAGTGTATTTGGTCGCAATTTTTCTGTACAACAATGGAGAGAAAACGTGTATTGAAATATCTTGGGAAGAGGAAAATGCCACCTGCACTAGTAGATAGACGTAGTCATATAAGCTCCTGTACATCAAAGGAACACACTGGTAGGTTATTTCCAGTGGCTGATAAATATGTAACTCGTCAATGGTTTATATCGTCCGTGCGAATATGAGAGCACTGTCCACGCCATGACATATCAAAAACTTGATACTTATATGGTCAGCTTCATCTATGTACACGCGTGTGGTGTGCCGTGAGATGATAACCTCATCACATTCATATTTGGATTCACTGGCTCAGTCGTGTATTCGAGTCGCACATATTAAAACCATAACACATTCAGACGGGTAAGGCTTTGGGTTAGCAAAAGTTGTTACATTATGCTGCAAATTTGAATTTCCTCTTGATACCAATTATGGTTTGCTAAAATTGTTTAATGAAAACACAATTTTAGACTAGCTACGTAGGTCATACAAAAGTGAACTCTGTTGCTAATCTCACTAGCCAATTCAGCCAATCTTCACAGTCAGGTGGGTTCTGTAATCAAGCGTGCCGCCTATCTAGAGGGCAGGTGACCGAACGGCGGAATTGTTCAGCCTATTTGGTGAGTCTACGGCTGTACCCTAGAGGACATTGAACAGTGCATTGACACGCCTCGTAGGTGAACTTTTCAGGGAAAAGATCGACGTCATGAAGGTTCATATCGATGATATCTCATTGTTGTATTGTTTAGAAGCTTCGATTTCTTCTCCTCCATGTGCCAGCTTACGACCGCGGTAATATGTATGACGTCCATAAGAACTGAGAGAGAACACACCGCACTATCCTCTAACTCCCGTTGACCCTTGGACGAAACCGATACTGTGTGGTGCGTGCCTGACTAGCGGGAAAATAACATGTGCATTTTGTGATATCTTTAGAGATCGGGATCGCGATGACATCCCTGTCACTACATTCATTGTGTGAAACGAATTTGTCATCTTTTTCGCTGCCACTGTAAAACGCTAGCGGTATTACAGTCGATCTGTCCTTTAACGTCAACACATTCTACTCGAAGAGACCTATCTGATAAACATATTTTCGTATGAAACGTTCTCGGTACAGCCAGCCCATGAATTTTTGCGTGCACTTCATAATTATGATTTAATTATTTATTATTGTCATTGCACATACTGCGATCGGCTCGATAGACAGTCTTCATCGATATATCAGTCGAGTATGTGAAAGCTGCAACGAATAGACAAGTGGTGTACGTTTGGTTTTAGTTTGAGTAGATTTGAAGTTGTTACTAACTTCAAATCTAGTTGCCAAGCGCGTCGAGTCTTTTTATGGCGAATTAGTGCGATTCTAAATGGAATTGGAGCTGTAAAGTGAGTGACCTATTGATTTAGTAAATTTTTTGTAAACACAAACGTCCTTTAACCCTTGGCTGTACGTATTACCTCATAAAATAGTGTACAAGCTTGAATAAATGTATAGTACTAAAATGTGGACAGCTGATCTTTCTCAAAAGCTTTGACGCTCAAGCGTTTACACAGATCTAGTGCGAACACATCTTCTCAACAACACAAATAATTAGGCAGAAAGGTTTAGAGCGTCGTAGGTGAGTCTCTCGGAAGATAGAATTAGCATTATGATAAATCAATTCTAAATTTCAAGTCATGCCTCACTAATTTGCTGCGCATTACTGTTCTATAATTACGTAATACCATTTAGAAGAAAAATAAGCTTCAATTCAAATTCTAAATTGAATAACACCATCTGAGTCTATCGGAATTATGTTCTGTTAATTTATTGGTAACAAAGCTTGAGCCAGGACTAAATATACACATGGCTTTGGCTGAAGCCATATTTTTTGTATGACTCGGTTTTCTAACTTACTGGACCAATTTTCGCAGAGACTCTATGTTATTGTTAAGTCTAATTGCGTAAACTGCAACTGCTCGTTATTAACTACGTTTTTTCTGGAGATGTTTTCACACACATGATTCCACTCAAAAACTCGTCGTACACGTCGCATGTCATATTGTCTACGGTACGCTTCCACCCTGTTTGTAGTCACAACATCGGCACACTACATTTCCGCTCTCGAGCTGACGTCCGTCAACCACGAGTTTTTCCATTATCGATATAGCAAATACTGCCAGAACTGTTTGATCACTGGCTGAATTCTTCTTATGTTGTTCAATTCTCCTATTAGTTGTACCATTATTGCCTGTCTTTATCGAAATACTTCGAGAAAGCAGTGAGAGCTAAAAGCGAAAATTGCTCGATTCATGACAATAACAGCTACTAGTGTATATATCTCTCCATGTTTTGATTCGAGTAGAGGAAACTATACCGGTAACCTAATCATGGACAGCTTTGGCTTACTCAGAGTTCCTACGAGTGGAATAGATAGATAGTGCTATGTGACGGAGTGCATTGTCTGTACAGCTCCATGATCTACACTGTGAATATAGAAACTGCAATTCGATGCTTATCTGTGCTTCATGCTTTTCAGCTGCTTGTGAGAGAGTTACGGGAAAGTCGTCTTCTGGCTCAATTTAGCAACCGGCTTAACTGTGTTGTCAACGCATACGTTCAACCTCCCCGGACCTGGAAACTGGACAATTTTAAAGTATAAATCAACTTTTGTGCCGAAGATAGACGAAGCAGAACATCATTTTCTAATGGAATTTCTGCAAATGTCGAGTATATAGAAAAATTGCTAATTAAGTGCGCTACAATCTGATGGATTTTACCTGGTTTGCCAACGGTTACCGCACGTTGTTTACTAAAACTCACAAACTTCTTATTGCCTCCAGTTATTGTGTCAAAAATTTTCGTCAAAGATGTTTGGTCGTCTACACCGACGCCAGATCACCCACGATCAGATTAGTTTACCTACCGAATTTATGCACATTGACGGGCACTCGTTCGTCGATCAAAAGGTCGTTGATTTGGACCAAGCCCGTTACGATGTCCTTATTGAGCGTCTCAAGCAGTCCCCGGCAACAGTCTCTTCAAAAGTGGCATGCCAATACTACGCGGAACGCTCACCGCGTCTGCTTATTTCACACCGATGTAGTCATTCACGGCCAGCACCGTCGTCTCGAACAGGTACAGCACGCATCGCCATCCCGAAGATCAGCGAACCATACGGATTTGTCCATGTGAGACATGTAACACTGGAGAATGTTAGCGAAGAATCTCTATATACGACCTCCGCTGACCGCAAAAGTAGTTTTGATGAAGACAGCTCTGCGGCAGATTATCCAAAAAGCACCAGTTCACAAAGCTTCTGAGACCTACTGTTAATTAGATTGATAGAATAAGATGTATATACACACACACACACACACAAAAAAAAAGAGGAGGTTGTCTTTTTGCGGATTATTCGCGTCTCCAAACTGTCATCACTACTGAACTGAGCCAGTAAAATCGAAGACATTTAGGTTCGACTTAGCGGAACTCTGCTTCATTATTTAAACACCAGAGCAGGACACTTTAGGAATTTTTCAATAGATCTATCCCAACTAATTTGAGCTATCATAGCTTATATCGTTATTTATTATCTGTCGAAGTAAATTGTAAATGTTTGTGTGTTTTAAGTCATCAATTAAGCCTTTATCAATAAGTAGCAGCAATAATAAAGAATGGGCTTAGTGCAGTCAGAAAAGTTCTCTTCATCTCATTTCAATTGTGAATTTTAGAACGAAGTGAGCTATTCTCTCTCGACACCAAAACATTTGTGCTTAGGCCGCTATAAGCAAGTTTACACCGTGCGTTTTTGTGCCAGATGTGCTTATCAACTCTGCTAAATGTTAACAGCTAAAATTAGCAGATTGGTCTTAAAGCAAAATAATGTTAAAAATCATTCGTAGATTTTTGGCATATTGTCTCCGTAGAAAGGGCGCTACCAACGAAACGAAACTTTGCTCCAAACAGTCTACTAGTAGCAAATAAATAATTTTCGTTATAGTTGCAAATGATAATCATGTACTAGTAGTAGGATCCGTACTGAGTGAAAGCTTACATTTTAGCAAAAGCTGCAAAAGGGAGCGGCAACACCGGTTTGGTTTAGAACAATGTGTCCGCTTAAAATATGTGATTATGATATGCATTTACCAAATCGTGGTTCGAGCTGATTGTACGAAATACCGAGACCTAAGGAAACGAAACAAAAGTGAGACCTATCTATGTAGTAAAAGGAAAAGTTTAATCCCTTATTTTATATTAGTTTAGTACCGAAGTATGGAGTACTAAAAGGCATAGCTATAAGTACAATATATACTTGTACTTATATACAGCCCGCAAAACGCAAACAAAGACATTTGTTTTTATATCACTTAGTACGGCGGCATTTTGAAATATTATTGGATGGAATTTTTTCCTTCCGCTCAGAAAAGAAACAAATCTATAGTTAAGTCACTTTATCAAAATGCTATCAAGTAAACAGTCATTAAGTTGCACTCAATGTGTTATTCCTCACGGATGTTATATAATCGAATGCCATTGAAAAATATGGATAATACATTTATGTTCAACAGTCAGAGGATCTTAGTTTGGAATAGAACAAACGAAAAATAGTGAAATTTTAATAAACTGTTTATATTTGAAATGATTTTATCTATCATTACCTCGACTATGAATTAGGTGTATTAATAAACCTGGCGACGCTAAAAGCAGCTCAGTTCCGTAGTTTCAAGGGATTCCTTAGTAGCCTGCATTGGTGAATTGTGAACTTTGCATTAGTACGATCGAACCGACCTATTTCAAGCAGAAGAAAACGTCACGTTTCAGGTTCATGTTGCGTGCTTCACTATCAAAGCTTTGCTTGCCACGTAATAATGGACACGACACTATGATGTTTATCACGGTATGGAGTTAAACCGTCTTGCGGTAAATCTGCGTGACTGGTCTGTTAGGTCGTTTTACACGAATATCATATGTTTGATTGGCTGGAAACCTAATAGTTGTTAACTGTCTGACACCTATGTGTCATCAGTACAAAGCGTCGGCTATAAAGGTATTTATTACGTTAAAAGATAAGTTGAGATTCTTATTTTATTTAATCATTCAGACGAGTTAAGTCGCAAATATAGATAACAAAGCAAACATAAGGCCACTGGCAACCTGTTTGCTAAATCTTATCAGAAATGAATAACACCCTAACTCCTAAAATTGACGAAACCTGAAGCGACATTGATGTTATTCAGCCAGCTATCAGTCTCTTTAATATATGCCCCGAAAAAATTGTTGGGGGTATGCCTTCACGTTTTGTGCTGGAAGAAACCAGACAACTGAAGTAATGCTTGACTAAGGCTGTTCAAATTCAAAACATTAATCTCTTCAGTGATTAATCCTTTTGTTTAATATAATACACTTGAAAATGGAAAAAGGCCATCATAAATTTGCGCGTAGTAAAAAGCTAACTGTTTAAGGGCGTAATTGTTAACACGTTTAATGTACATATATACAAGATCATATTTTTATATGAAATATTCAAAAAGAACAAGGACAGTTTTCGTGATTATAGACATAGTACGGACACAGTTTGACGAAAGGGCACTATAGCCGACATGGCATTTTTGGAAAACAAGCTTGACAGAATCTGCGAAACATCTAAACATAAGAGTTGCTTAGGTCTTCGAGCTTTACACTCGAGATGCGAGGTTTAATTTTTTTTACAGACTGATGTTCCTTATTGTTTGCCATGAAACTGAATATGGTGTGTTTTTTTCCAGGAAGCAGTGCAGAATCCTCAAAGTAGAATGCTGATGAGTTTAAATATTTAACTTTATCGCTTTATTTTTTAGACGATCTAGTCTTTGCATGAAGTTCTGAAAGTTAAGTTTCATTTTGAGAAAGCGGAATAACCGCAAAGCAGTAATGGGTCAACGTTAACGTAGTAGCCGCAAAATTGCAATAAGGACACAAGATAAGTGACACAGCAACGATTGAATAATATCTGACTCAGGGTAACCGAACAGCAGAGACCAGGTAGCAAAATTGCTAAAACAATGTAATGCCACTTACTAGAACATGATAATGGGATAAGCTGGAAACAGAGAATATTGACTTGAACAATGCAATGGGTCTTCGGAGGAAAGAACTGCGTCAAGGAAATGGCAATAGGAAAACTCCAATGCGATAACGGGAGTAGCACAGGAACTGTAACGACCTCAGCTACAAGATGCATGTTTAGGTTGAGAAGGTCTAAAATCGCGTAAGGTTACGTTCGGAAAAACGGAAATAGTATAGATGGCGCCCGGCGTAGCAATATGCGATAAATATATAGAAAAAAAAATTAACGAGTCTGGATGCTAATAGGCAAGATATGTATTGTTGTTCCTTGCAGCTTAGATAAAATAGTGGTAGCGATTCGGTTCTGATGTTTCTTTAGCTGAACTACTGCGTAATAATCGATCATATGCTGCATATAAAAAAAGACCTGCTCCAAAAAATGTCGGACTACATATCTTTGGCGTTTTTATATGTGTTTGAAGCGCGAATAACATACTTCCTAAATACTGATGATAGGACGGAGGAAGTATGTCACATTTTAGAATCTCACAGTGCGTATTTTGACACACTGATCGCCTTGTTAACTGTTCAGACCTTCTGTTAACTCTTAAAATGTTGACCTCCCATGTTATATGTGCTAATAATAATATTTCTAGTCGAAACGCCTAGAATGCACCTGGCGCAGCAGTGGCGATCAGTTTTGCCCTTGTACGCAACCTTATTGATATACCTACCAGTTCAATATTGTAAAACGTGGTACATAACTTAGAGTGATTGCTATTTGAAAAAGGGTCGCAGTTTTGCATTTTTGTGATAAGAACTTTGTACCAATTGCCGTTATGCTACGCACACACAACACTATAATTTAGGTTAATGAAGATAATTATTCATAAAGTACATTGTAATTTGATTCTTATTTATTATATCCTTAACTTCTAGCCCTCGCATGGCTAGAAATCCATCAAATGTTTCAAGGTAAAATTATTTGTTATTGAAAAAAAAGAAAAAATTGTTATAGAAACTCAACATCAACATTTGGCTCAACGCACTGTATTTACGTCAAACGAAGTTCAGCATATGTTCTTAATACGACGGCGTGCAGTATCAGCGTTTACTTCAACGAATTTTGTTCCGGATCACGAGAACATTCTCGGTACTGATTGTGACAATTGGCCCCTTGTGTACGGAGTAACCCAATCGTTAGAGAAGAGATGTTTGTGTTGATTTTAATTATTTTTCTTGCTGCTGATGTACAAATGTCAATGTTGTGCATTGCATTGTTCTAATTTTCTCAAATATCCCACACATACTCGACAAATGGTCGCCCAGGCGGCTCAGCTTGTGAGTCACTGCATGTTACGGCAGACCTCAGCTATGCGATGAGACGTGGCTAGTTCGAGTACCGTCGCGGCGTAGACAACATTGGCTATAAGCTCATTATAAGCTTAACGCGTGTTCTCTATCGATAGTCAGGCAGTACTGCCGTAGTGTTGCTCTATGAGTTCTGCACTGTCAGGAAACTGGGAAATCTTGAACTCTGACCGTAACATTATAAATTTGTATATCAAGTTGGATGCAGACACCGTTTTTTTTTTATCTACGCCGCTTGCATAGTTCATAGAAAAATATATAAGTACGAATTGAATAATCATATCTATTTGCAATAGTTTCTATGTTACCAATATAGCTTACTCAATTACTGAACTTGTCCAAACAGTTGCTTCAGAAGGACTTACGCCTCCGCTATTTGAATGAATGATTTAGAACGTCCACTGCCAATAACACGCGGACCTGACACAATAATTACTATATGCTACGAATGTTGAGGCTGCCTAATCAATGTATGCAATTAGTCAACGGCCCACCCTATTCAACTTTTACGCATTTATACCATTAAAAGTGGCGACGCCATTCTATAGAAATGCCCGTTCAACAGCCATCGGTAACAACCATTTTCGTCATAAACGACAATAAATTTCAATAAAGGATTTTGGATTGAAAAAACAGCCTGCCGTAGTTTATGGGTCACAGGGTTACAGTAAATGGTGGGTTGCAAGATGAAAGCGTATTTTTGATAGCTTACAACAATTAGGTCTGTATTGTATTGATAGTCAACAATTAAAATGGTTTTTTCAGGGCTTTTCGCGCGCTTAGCTGTGCTTTGCGGTGGGCAACGCGAACAACTCCGTCTGTTGGCTATGGCACTTATCAAAATAAAAGTTGCTCATAAAGGAAGTGACAGTGCATTTCTTATAGATTTCTTATATATGCAAATTATGTATACGTGAGCGCCACTTTTCCTTGATGGCAGTGAATATTAGGGACACCTGCTATTACACACGGCAACGCGAAAAATAGGTATATCTCTGTTCAGAAGTTGCCAAAACGGGGCAAATGTTTCACAGAGAAGAGAGAGTACCTTTAACGCATAATAAAAATCATCATTGAAGTCAGCTAGTTCAGAAGTTATTCAACTTCAAGGCCTGCAGTATTTGCGTGTAACAGCTGGTAGATACCAAACTATTATACGTTTTCACTGCTGGATTGCCATATCAGCCCATAATTTTTAAATCTAACTCGATTTCATCTTTGAAGGTCAGCGTTTCCAAAACCCGGTAAAATATTTACTTGCGCAATGTAATAATAGCATAACGGACAAATTTAAGGATTAGAAAACACGTTTGCTTATCATTAAATAGCTTCCTTAGTTCTGCGCTAATCTTGGCCCTGAACAATCTATGCTTACAAATAGCACATGTGCATGAGGTCAGGAAATGCCTGCTCAAAACGAGCATAAAGAGCATTGGTCAGGATCGAATTTGAGGTTTCATATGACTACAAGTACACAAAGATGTACCAAGCGTAGCACTAGCTAGAAATGATCTCTCTTCTATGCTAGAAATCACACCCACTAGCAACATGATATTTTAAAGTTTGGTTCATACTACAACCGTATAGCGTCCAACCGCACCAATTGCTGCCAGTAGCGCTGGTGGTAATTGGACCAAGTCTACACATGCGCTCTATTGCTGCGCCAAATTTTATCAACACGTAATCATATACAATACCAGCTCTGGCACGTGCAATTAACAGATGAAAAATTATAAAGGAAAAAGCTTTCCATATTCTCAAAGTTATACATATATATATATCACGTTTTGATGAGCCGTCAAGCCCTAACGCATTTGTATTACGTTTCCTTTTAATGAAACAGTGCTTTATAAATTAACTAGATCTCTTTTTTGCTACCCGTTTTGAAAATATTTTTTAAGTAACTTTTTAAGAAACCGAACAAAAAAAAGACAGCATTCAATATGTAGCTTTCAGAAGATGACGTTAACTAAAGACGCAATACTTTACCAGTTCTCGTATCGTAGCGCTAACCTACGATATTTATCTACTTTCGTAACACCGACACCTATTCTTGCACGCAATGTTTTTGCATCAAGTACGCTGATATAACTAAACAATTTAAATTTATTTACATTTATCTACAAGAATAAACATTTCAACTAGCAAGTCAGACACATAATCGTAGAGGAAAACTTCCGTGTTTGTTTCACAGACTGTGCAACGAAAGGTCTAATTAACTTAGCCTTTGATGCAGAAAAATGATTTTTGCGCGTCAAATTCAGATTTGTCAAGCCAATGATTGTTTGAGATAATAATGATTCAGACAAACTTTGTTGAAATTTCAGCTCCAAGCAAAAATAACTTTATCCAATGTTTTACTTAAAAAACATGTCATCTGCGTATTTACAAAAGCGGCCAATAGGTGATAATACTTATACAGCCCAGGGTGGTAAGCATATTCCCCATTTATATAGATTGATGTGCAAGCTCCATCAACACTGCGAAGTGTGCGACGTCGAAATTGAATCAGAAACGAAATGTTTAGCAAATGAAAGCAAGCGTAGCTCTATAGTTATTTTATTCAATTCCATCCAACTAATATCTTTCCGGAATCTCCGTTTCTTCCCAACTTCCTGCTAGTGAGCTCATATACGGAAGTATTCGATTATTATTAGGATTATACAGAGCATTAATGTACCCCGAAAAACGAGGCAGTATATAATTGCCATGTGCGTGGTACGTCAAAAATACGAAAGTCGCTTTGCTCAGACTGCCCAGTTGCGTCGTATGCTCCGCAGAATAATGTGTCCTAACATGTATCCTATTGTTAGCTTTATGTAGCAGGGCAAGTAGAATGGATATTACTATTTTTAATTTTTATTATAATTAAATAGTTTTGTCTACAGTGAACCTGCAAATAAAAATGTGTTCTGGGCTGAGTGTTTTTTGTAGTCCTTATTAAATATCAGTTGTTGTTGTTGATTATCAGAACAGAATCCCAACAAATGTTTCCATAATCGAAACATTCATAGGTAAGAACATTCATAGGTAAGACGTATGTTAAGTAAAGAATGCGCCCTAAACATGTAGATCAATGACACAGTTGTTCAAATATTGGCCGGTTTCGCTTTTTAGGGCAAATACTATAGTTTTCGAGTGTTCTTAAGCGGATGTTTACGGACTGGAGGGCTCCACTTCAGCATGGTAGCGTCAACGGTTAATCGTGGCCTCTTGTATTCTGCACTACGGAGGTGCTCTTCGACCAGTTTAGGAGTAACGCATATAACATGTTGGCCTTTCCAGTACTTAACCATATTGAGACTTTGAAGGGTAGATACAATATCCGTATGGGTGATTGAAGTCAACTGCGAAAGATCCTTAATTGAGAGTCGTACTGTCGATTCTCGCATAATCTCCAATAATACCTAAAAAGCCAAGCGTACGCTGTAAGGTTGATGACATTTATATTTTTTCGTCGCCAAAAAAAATATGTTCCCAAATAGGCAATACCAGAACAGACATCGCTTCTTCTATCATATATACTATGCAGCAGACACATACAGATAAAAATATGTTTACATTAAAGTCTTTTTTTAAATAAAGAGGTTTAATCATATAGATGGTAGCGATAGCAGAACTACAGGGAGCGTTGTAGGAAGCATTGACTCCTACTGTTGTATAAATTATAGAAATTAAGAGTGACTTCATTTAAAATGCTAGCGGCGAGCGCACATTCTTTCTTTAGTGCGGGAATGACAAGGTGCAATCTCTGGCGACCAGCGATTAATCGGCCGGCTAGAAATTTTATGTACTCACCGCCGGCCGAAACCAGAAGTACATCTATTGTAACAATATATATTTTCTGCGTCCATTTCACAGGCTAGCTCAACTTTCGGGAATCACTCAACCAATCCATACATAAGTTAATGTCTGTCTGATTAGACTAGTTTTGGCAAAGCAGATGCATAATAAAACAGATGACGTAACAAGCTTCACGGTATATCGACAATTCCTGAAATGCACGAATTACCCGGAATGGAGGTTGATCTAGTGCTAATGAAACTATCACTTGGCCTTATGTTGTAGCATATTTCATTCACAAGTAATATAAACTAGCGATATTCAAAATTGTAGGCAACGGGCTTACTTACCCAAGACCAATAAGATCGATAGCTTAGTTTGCCAAGATCGGAAAGTGGTTTTTCAGGAGAACCGACAACGTTCTCTAACTTTGACAGTTCATAGGAGAAAGCGATCAGGAATTTACCGTAGCCCTTTCGTTGATATGGGGGAAGCGTCAGGATACAAGCTACGTTATTGCCGTCAGGACTTTCTTTCTCCTTTGAAAAATAACCCACGATATGGGCACCCTTTGCACAATGAATAGCAAGAAATATTTGCACGTATTAGTTACTGGTACTAATAAATCCATAAAGTGACATATATCTTTAGGTAAGCAAGTGTTTTCACTGAACAGTTTGGAAGAGCACTGTCATTTAACTTTAATCCTATGCAGCTTATAGTAGTTTTAAAAGTAAGAAATTGTACTGCAGTATCACTGTGCTTATAATTAGAAATTTGATATTTTCGATTTTAGATTTTCGGTGTCACGACTTTCTCGTTCGTTACTTTGAAATTGAAAAATACCCGAAGTGCTCAGCTGTACGTAGCTATAAAATTGTTTAACGCACTTTACCTCAAATGATACACTGTAACATTCACCCAGTTAAAATTGATATTCACCTCACGATCGACTTCACATAGCACGTAGAACATAAATGGTTCGACATCGAAATAGAGTGTCTTGTGATCGAGAAATAGTTTTGCCAGAAGGCATAAACATTGACCGTACACTTTGTAGTCTTTGCCGTCAACCTGCAAAGCGAATGACTTTATTTGTAAAAAAGCTGACTGGCACTAAGCATTTGCTTGGAGCCAACGAGAACGAGAATTAATCATAGAAGGCAGAATAGTGTATAGCATTTAAAGGCTTCACATGAAACTAGACAAACGTCAAACAAGGTTCAGTGTCCAAACCCATCTGTTTTAGATGCTTACGAACCTCGAAAAGCGAAATGGTTCCTTTCCTATAAATTTCCTTGCCGGGCGGCTGCTTCCATGTACAATCGGAGAGATGCTGTCGATACGTCTTTTCAAGCCGCATGTATTTAAGGCAATACTCGCATATCCATAACTTAGGCAGCTTTCCATATTCGTCAGGGTACGGCGAAAAGTACCACGCATCAATTTCATACCTTCCAAACTGGATCTTATCTATGTATTTTACCTGAAACGTTTCCCAATAATCATAGGCAAATCAGCAAATATTAAGCCTTTGTTTAACACGCTTAAAATAAGCGCGAGAGAGAACTGTGTCCGGCATTCTTCGCTCTTGCAAAATTTATGCTGAATAAATACGCAAGGATAATTAGACCACGCTCAAATACAGCCAACAAATGGCTTATGCCGTGTATTACAGTTCACCAGAATAGAAATTTCTATTCTTGCTGAACAGATCTTTGACTTAATTAATAATACGCCAGGGCTATCTTTATCGCTAAACTATCTTCTCTTGACACCTAAGACGTTGATACTGCGAACCTTTGTAAGAGCTTCGTGTTCTTTTTCCAGTGCAGCCGTAGTTGGGTCCATCTCGGCGTAAGTTTTCTGTACGTGATTAATTTCGTCATGTCGACGTTTTTGGTTTCGGGTAATCTTCCTGTCTGACTGCTCCATAGGGTCAACCTTTAAAAGAAATTACAGAACCTTTATGATCATCATCAAACATTACTAAACATTTAAATGCAGCTAAGCATTTAATTATGTGTAATAGAAAGTAAAACACAATATTCCGAAGAAGTAAAGGAAGCTTAAACGATAACAGTAAAACGACATAGAAGCTAAACGTTGAATCTTATCGATTTTCGACGCGGATGACAATGCCTTTGTGTATATAGCACAAAACAAAATAAAAATTAAAAAATTAAAGGGCTTTACTTGACTGGCCACACCAAAATGATTTTAAAATACTATGCATGCATCAAACAAATACTGACTCCCTACCGCGAACTTTGTGAACCAAGGCGAGCTTACAATATACACGTCTTAGTTATATTTAGGCCCTGGAGAATAACTGCCGAGCACTATAAAAGTGAAAGAATTATATGAACAAAGTTTTCATAATTATAAGTTCCTTGCTTATAAAAACGTTTAACTCATAGAAACGCTTTTGAGCCCCGTTACTGCATGCTTAGTATGCTTATAGAAGCTCCGTGCATGACGGCTGCTAAATTTCGTATATTCAGGTAACCTTCGATGCTAGCTCAGTTCAACGTAGCAGTTATTCTAATAAATGCACTTCAATGAAAAACCTCAAAAGCTAACAAATGTGTTACACTACACTTACTGGATTGGGAACAATATCTGCCTCTGAAATTTCGGCTGCCGAAACTGAAATACGGTCCCGCTCGATCCATTCATCCAAACGACGATTAACTGTTGGGTTCTCAAAAAAACACAGATACAGCTATTATTTTTGGATATCTACAATGAACTTGATATCACTGACGCATGCGATTAGTGACTAGGGGCCTATCGCTTTTTACTTATTGAAAAACTGCACTTACAGTTTTAGCTTTTCTTTAAACATGAGCGTACTTACAAATTTTCAATATGAATTCTACATATGGGCAAACACGTATGAAAGTACCCGCTTTTCGTCTGTCTGCAGCGTCACGATTTTCAATTAAAGCTAGTGAAAATCACTCACATCCTTTGTAGTGCACATAATATTCGTACTCGTCGCCGGCTGCTGTCTTGCGAACTTGAATTATCTCAGCAGATTCTGGAAACCAAGCGTGAGGAGTAAAATAACTAATGTTGATTCAGCTAACATACACTAGTTATTAAATGAATGATAATAGCCAATGTTATTATTATTAGTTAAATACTAACATGGCTTGTTCGGCTAGCGTTGTCACATGATTATTAGCGATGTCACTTCAAGCCACCCCAACATATATGTCTGACTATATATCTGACGCATGTCATGAAGAAAGATTTTTTACCGAAAGTTCTACCGTTCATTATTAAGATTAGGTATATTTACATCATATATGAATGCAGATAACCTTTGTGGATAAAAATTGCTTTACTCACAACATTTGACTCACATATCATGTTTCATCGAAGTTACGTTTTTTTTTGTTAGAAGTGATTATCAGACGTATTATATTAATACTATTGTTTAGGCGACATTCAAAGTTACCCCATTTATGCTAACATAATACACAATGACCGGCCAAACTTACGCCATGTGTTGTCCGCCCTGCGAACCATGTATTGCTCTCCAACCTTCAGCGGCGCTTCTCCCTGTGAACTATCGCCATCACCATTGGCGTTAGCAGTGGGACCGGTGTTGGCATTGTTGCGGTTACTTTTACCACCTCCAGCGGTGGTCCCTGCCGAAGCCACTGGCTCAACTGCCACGTTTTTCTCCTCCAAAACCATTGTTTTTTTTGTAGTTTATACAGCGTGTATACTTAAAAAAAACACATCTTCCGCTTGGACTGTTTGATTATTTGAATCTGGATAACAGTTTCGTTACGTATTCTCTGAGCTCAGCACTCAAACACAAGCATGTATGCAGTACTTAACGTCAAGAAACATTGCGCAGACGAGCGCACATACAGTAACTCGAAAATTCAACAACTTCAACGGTGTTCCGTAACAGCTTACCTCCCTAGAAGCTTTTGTTGCTTATTGCGATGGTAGCGCCGAAATGTAAATAAACAATGGGGCTTTCAGGCGCTTCGGTGTTATCCATAGAAGCTTCGTTGCTTAAAATCGGCCTCGGGAAAGCAAAGCCCAGCTACTAGAGTTTAAGGATTCAGGTTTCTTTTGAAATAAGACTTTAATCCGCTTACGTGTTGTTGATTCGCAAGCCTCAGTATTTTCTGATACTATTTTTTAAATTTCACAAACCTACAAGGTTAGTGAACGGGTGAGGGTAGTATGTTGTAAGTATGACAGGTTAAACTAGCGGCCAATAGATACGGAATTTACTGTCATAAAGAACGGAGGCGTTCAAGCAATTCCGATTTTCCCCAAAACTCATTTACTATGTATTACGCACAAACCAACTGTCCTAATAATAATTGATGATTAATTAACAATAAGTGATTTTTGTACACACAATAGGATTTTCTAGATGAAGCTTCCCGGTTGTGCTTTCGCCAAGGTGTTTGACAAGCAGTTCAAAATGGCGGCCCAGCTGGTTGAATTTTTCATTGCCGGAAATCTAAATAGTGAGGAAATTTTAAAATTTGTTTCAAGTAATGACTGCAGTGCAATATGTGATCAGCTTCAGATTCCATCTGTAAACTCAACAGAATTCATCTATGAACTCTTAATGTATCTTCGTGAGCAGTGCAGCAATGTATTTGAACATGCACCAAGGAGCTATACGGTTCTGAGCCCACGCAAAGTAATATTTTATTATTCATGATCGATTATGTAAATTATATAATTGCTACCTATCATTTTGATGTCCATTGTGTTGTATAAAAAAAAATTAATTATAATGTACAATGCTACATTTGATAAAATCTGCCTATATAAAAGCTTGATCAAGTTTCATTGAATTTAAAGTTATCGAACTAGTTAATTCTATACTTTATTATTTGATTACACCTGCCGTGTAATATTTTATTAACGGAGTTGAACTATAGGCGCCTGACTTTTTTCAGCCAGAAGTTTAGCCATCCAAGCCAATGCGCCAGCACTCAATTATTAATACGACGCACTTTACTTAATATAGTGCAATTGATATATCTTGGTTTGATGTGCTTCAGCAGTGTTCTTAATGCCTGCCAAATATCACGTATGAAGTCTCTGCCTTTTTAACTAATGTTCAACTAGCCTGACCTTTCCAAAACGGTGTGAAGACCTTAATAGTCCAAGCAATTATTCTTATGATCCATAGTTTTACCTTCGACTTCTGAATCCTGCGACGACACAATTTTCCACTCCTTTTGGGCAAACCACCTGCAAACCCATATTCGTAGCTTCGCAAATTTCAGTTGAAAAATTAAAATAATCGCTTTTGGACTTGTCCCTTTTGAATCTGTAAAATCTGTAAATTTCATTGCTCTTAGAATGAGCAACAAAAACGAGTTCTTTTGTGGGCTTTTATTCTTACTTTAGCTCAGCCGAAAAGGTTTAATTTGCACTACTTGTCGAACATAATGCTAGTTAAATGTCCTCTTACTGACGGTTTGTATAACTTAATATCCTTTTCGTAATTTGGAGCCACTGCCCTCATAAGTTCGCGTCAGTTTCACCAATCACTTCATAAATGTTGTGTTTCAGGTCGTGAATTGTTTTTGCCGTTGTTTTATAGACTCTGTTTTGCGCTTGCAAAAATCGAGAGGATCTAAATCACAGGACCTGGGCGACCACTTAAGGTTATCGCTGCGCATCGAGATCGGCTGGCGTAGGGGCCTTGAAGAAAGCAGGGTGGAATGGCTAATGCACACCTTTTTGAGTGCGTAGCATCAAATTATGAATAACTAACAAGCATGCCACCACGCGAGTTCAAATTGTAGCGTTGGCAAAATAGATGACCAAATGTTAATAATCAGAAAAGTAATCAATCAAATAAGCAATCAAAAATTAAAGAAGTGAGGTGTATTGAGACTGATAGCTGTTTCTACGTTTGCCATGCCATTCATTGGATTGCTGGCAAAAACTTTTCATAAGTGCAGCAAGACTCACTACGGGGACATTTTTCATGGGGACAAGTTTTTTATGCTATACCTACGAAAAGGTGATTCCGCAACTTATATAGAGGGGAGATCATATTGTTTAAGGCATGGTGTGAAGAATAGTGGCAAGAACAATTGCCCCACTCCATAAGTGAGATTAAACTAGGTGACCTGTTTGTTATTTACCCACCATTTGTTGTAGTGCTCGGTGAGCACCTATAGTGCATTTACTCACTATTATCGAAATAGCCGCCTAATTGAGAAATGGTAAACAACTGTAGCCTGTACGAATACAGCTGTGAGCCAACTATAAAGAAAGGGTTTTAAGTATCGATATAGTTATATGATTTTTATTGCATATTTTTTTTATGCTAGCTATCGCGTCCCATGTTTCCGGATATCACCAATATGAATTCATTCCTTTTTCGTGACAGCCGTTCGTTTATTCTCTTGGCAATAATAGTGCCATGGAGCAATAGTTTCACGATGATTTAAAAGCTCATACTAAAGTATTCCTTTAGTGTCGCACAACACAAAAAAGACTAGCATGCTGAATAGATTGGCTTACTTCATCGTTGCTTTTAATACCTTGCTTGTCTGAGATTAATTTATAATGTCCTGCTTTTAAGATTGGGATTGAAAATGCTCTTCTCATACCCAATATCGATTTGTTACAGAAAATTCTTTATTGATTTAGTGAGATGAGTGTGACATAGTGTAGTAATTAATCTTGCTTATTTAGTCTTCCGAAAACCCACTTACGTGCCTTCTCGCTTGTTACGCTTATCACAGAGATGATGCGTGCGGGGAGACTCCCTACTTATAATGCATTAAAAAGTGATTCACACCAGGCCGTAGTCATTATTTCCTACTGCGGTAGTAGGGAGGTTTCAGTCCTTACAAAAAAAATTCGTTCTGTATGGAAAGGATATTATTGATTCATGTTCCGAGATAGATCCGAACATGTAGTAATATTATGGCCGTTATTAAGTGGTGTACTTACTTTGCAGAATCGTCGATTAACATCATCGAAACCCAACAGTGACAGACCCTCTGATAAAGGTACACCTGAAAGGATTAATTGTAGTAACTCGGACTGCCCTCGTCAACTATGTAATCCTTTGGAAATTAGGAATAGTTCTCAATATGATGGATCGAGAAATAGCACATACCGAGATCAAACGGACTTTTCTGCCTCGTCGCTTGCAGCACATTGTGGGTCACCGGCAGCTTTATCTTTCAGTACGGAGGAATTTCCGTCGCTTAGTGATTCTTCAACTCCAATCAAGGGTGAGTGTTTGCTGATATGAAGTTCCATTGTATGACCCAATAATAAGTTTAAAAAAGATTCTATTAGTAGGTTTTAGTAGGATAGTTCATGTTGGCGAATAGATAGCTGCAGGACAACATCTGGCTGTAACTACTTACTAATACGGGCTAAGCTACATTTTTGCTCTTATGTTGAAAACTTATATACAAAAATATTTTAGGTGGCGGAAAAACTCCCAAAAGAGAGAAGTTACTACATTCAACTCCAATTCGATCGCCAGGAAACCTTGACGTAGATACTTCTCCCTTAGCATCTGAAGGTGAGTACGCTGCTCATATTGGAATACCTGTTTCCGCTAACCGAAGTCAATACTTCTACAAAATAGGCTATAACCTATTCTTTATGTGTTCATAAAGGCGCATTACTTTAATAATATTCAATAGACTATTTCATCTGCTCCGTATAGTGGAAATCAGTACATTAGGAATCTGTTTATTATTGCAGGTATCTTCAGTCGCTCGCTTCCGAAAAGCAGTAGGGCTGATCGAGCTAAGCAGACTTCTTTGACCCCACAGACAGCGCAGTCGCATGTCAAGGATGCAACACATGAGCAGTCGGTCTCGCCGAAAAAAAGAATTACTCCGACGCCTGTCAGCGTATGGCAAAAGCCACCAGTCCTTATTGCTGATTTCGTGAATACGCCAGAGGTAATTGTCTTCGGCACGTGTGGAACCTATTGGAGAACACCGACCATATTTCGTTCCGATTACTTTTAATTATCTGCCACCACTTGGAAGTATTTTCTATAAATCATAAATGCTTTTAATTTTAGATGAGCCGTAGCCCTCAAGAAGCGACGCAGAGGCAAAAGAAGATTGCTCGAACCATGAAACAAGACAACGCTTCAATAGTACCCACATCGAGTGACGAAATGATTGATTCGCCCGAGATGGAACTTGTGTGTCGACAGGAAACTCTTGATCGTCTCGCGCACCTTTACGCCAATTGTCTGACGCGCAACTTTGTACCAAACCTTTTAGTCGAAATACATTTCGTTCTACAATTGCTCGTCGTCAAAATAAAGCGCATGAACTCGCAGAGCAGCCTACTGCTCGGTACTATCAGCAATTGTGGCTATTTTGCGGTCCAAGTATTACGCTATAGTGATTCTCTCTTAGCAATTCTTGGGCGTGACATGCTTAAGCTTCTGAGGGATCTTCCGCATGTGCAAAGGATGAACCTGGAATTGCATAATCGGTTGGCGGAACTGTACAGTCAAGAAAGGAGTTTCTCGACTTTTCGGAGTAGTTTTATTCAAGGAGTATCGTTCGATACGTCTATCGATAACGCGGATAATTTTCCGACACAGCAGCAGTTTGGAGCCTTTCGCCGCCAAAGAGATGCATTCTGCCAATTACTGAAAGACTGGCAAGAGGTAGCGCTGTTTGAAAATGCATATCTAGTATTCTCTCATGCGTCAAGTTAATAGCGTCTAACCTAATCCGTAAAGGCCTACAACCGATAATCTGAGTTATTATATTGCTATTCATATAGAAAATGTTTCTCTACTAAGATAAAAACAGCCACTTTACAGTCTGATTAGGTTATACAAACAACTATGTTTGATTAGTAATCAGTCCAGCGTTTGTAATTTGGAAGTATTTTTTGTCTATTAAGTATTTTATTGCATGTAATTTCCCGCCGACCATTCTGGAAATTAGGGGTGCTTGGAAATTATAGCTGGTAACAAATTTTTCAGTCGCCTAATATTCTTTTAACCCAAAATACTGATACTATCTTTGACCTTTTTTCAGGCGACCTTTGGATACGATAATCATGAGCTGCGTTTTGGTAGTAGAGTCCGCAATATTTTCGAGCTATGTATGGACTCGTGCAATTTATTGCATCTTGCGCAGCTTTTGACGCGCCACTTAGTTGCCACATGCTGTGGAAGTCTCGAAACTGACGAATCAGGGACTACATCCGAAAAGGTCATTCAAGATCTCCGCAACTTAAATCCCGATAAGCTGTCGAAGCTAAGAGGTCGGCTTAAGAAGCCTGTCTCCACTTCGCTGTCGACGCGATACCAGTTTAATGGGCACCAAGCATTTTTTCATAGCTTTATTCTTGAAGCAAATTACGCGCAATTTTATGTTCATCTTAAGAGTGTTCTTGTGAATCATATATTCAACGAAGACAGACAGGATATGACCCCTGGTGATACTGAGACTAGCATTGACAGCCAAGTTCGTGAAGAACTTTGCACGCATCTATACAGACTAAGGCTATACGGAGCGTTTCTTGGGCTTGTCGAATTCTTGCCTTACTCGACTGGCGAATTTGCGATTCCTCAACTAGAAGAACATCAGCGTACACTTCGTGAAAAGATGCCCCCACTTGTGGATCTTGCCGAGTGCCTGCGTTCATCTGTACGAGAGAAGCGACTCCTTTTAACAATGTCCTGGGCTAGCGCGTATCTTGCATTGGCTGATCCGGGTATTAGCAAACTCTCGACTTACCAGGAGACCTGGAAGATACTGTCCGCTTTGTTTCGGTCATGTAAATCATCAGATTTGTGCTCTGTCTTGTTTCGCATGATGATCGGTTGGGTCTATCACAACCTGGACATGCCAATAATATTCTCTGGACCCACAATAGACATTTCACTTAAGCCCGGCGTTGAAGAACTTATTGATGTACATTTGCTGCAAATGACGTTTCCGTTTTTGAATAACTTAAAATCCATAGTCATAGATTACTATTGCCTAAATCCGAATGAGGTTCGTTTAAAAAAAATCGCCCCTGTACCGGTCGGTTGCGAGTCACGGCACGAACTTAATCTAGAAGCCAAACTGGAAGAAACATTCTTTTTCATACATCCTCCTTCGGTCAAAAGAAACGTGGCTCATGTTGCCAAGGAGATCCCTGAAAACGTGGTCAAGTCTAAAAAGCTCGAGCTAGAACTCCAGTTTCGTGAGGACGTAAAAGCTTCTCTGAAACAAGTACGGGCCAGCGGAAAAACGGTTATATCAGAGATGATGCGAACCCTCGCTCAAAATATGTGTGCCAGATTGCAGTTAAAGGCAGAAAACATTCTTCTTCCGGCGTGTGATTTGCATATGGGTCGTGCTCTCAGTGAGCTTTTGTCCGTCGACTGTAGCCCAGACGCAGTGCTTGTAGCAAAGAAGATTTGTGCTAAACAGTGTCACATGCAAATACAAAACTGGATCCGATCTCGTATCTCGAAGGAGTACCTACACAGTCTAATTAAGGAATGTAATAAGGATGCTATTGATGAAGTTGATATAATGGATGAGGCTGCGCTTGAACAAAAATCGGTGGAAATGCACGAAGCTACCAATTCAGTAGGTTACGTTATCGACTCGCTGGAACATCTAATAAGGGTAACACTTAAAAGCCGTTTACCACCGTGGAAGACGACGGTTGAAAGTGCCCGCCAGGCTTTATTGCATCGTCGTGAATGGACTCAAGCGTCATTGAGTGCTACTAAAAGTCTTCTCGTTGACTTGGGGATGATATCGATTATGAGAGTCGGAACAATGGAGGTTGCTTGCGCTGTTATTAAGATACTGAAAGAGGTTGGTTTGCATGAAGAGTACGAAGTTGATTCAGCCAGAAACCGATATATTTTTGAACATTTTGCCGATGGAGACAGCGAATCGTCAAAAGCTTTGCTAAGTGAATATCAGTTGATGATTGACAATATAAATGCGTAATCGGTGATTTAGATGCTTTAGAAAGAGTTGTTGTTTGTGTGTGTATATGTATATATACACATATATATATATAAGGCTTGGTAAAAATCTATATTCTAAACGTACCGTTGAATAGTGCTTTTAGTTAGCTCTTCGCGTAGTGTTAAAAATCAAAAACTATTTATAAAAAAACTTACACTTTCATACTTTATTACCCATTATTGTTTGATATAATTATTATTGAGAACCCTGATATTACTAGATGCGCTCAACGTAATTAAAGAGCTTAGTAACACAGTCTTATCCCATTTTGACTGTAAAAATAAAGAAAGCATGTAACACAATATCGTGTTATACTGGTTCATTTAGTGATTATGCAATGCACAAGTAGAACACACCAATGCTTGGCTTCCGTTAATAATAAATAAATTGATAAATACATTGGATGGATTCATAATATATAATTATAATAATAGTCATTAATAGAAGCGGACGATATTAATGTCAGTTTGTGAACAAAAGAATACAAAAAAATTATTTTATGGAAATTGTAGCATGAAGAACTTCCATTTTTCGAACATTTTTCATAGATCTAGTTCTCATATTTTCAACTGAACTATGCAGCATTATTGTCTACGACCATTTGTCACTTGTGTGGTAACTTACTTATCCCACTGCTGTAAAAGGTTGGGCCACGAGAACCTATGAAATTTCGAAGGGCAAATTCGACATCAGGTTAAGATGTGAATAAGAAATTATCGAGATCCTGAAAAAAAACGGTATTTTATAAAAGCAATTTTCAATTATAACTCCCTAAAATTTGTCCATCAAGATCTTTGTCGTATGCGGACAAGCATTGTAGTGTAATAGGAGTGGTTTACCTTTGTTTACTAATTTTGGCGACATAATGCGGAGTTTTTAAATTATCTGCTCCACTAATTAACAATATACTTCAACGTTAATCGACAAAACAGGCCTTATGAAGCTGTAGCGGATAACACTTGCATTAGACCATCACATAAGCGCCATCAGTTCTTACGTTTTGAACAGTTACTTTAGAGCGATGGGGTGATTTTCTGCTGCTTCGGTCACATCGACTCTCTGCTATGATCGTCTATGATAATCGCAAAAAATCATTTTTCCATCACAGGTCAAAATTCGATATTGAATGAGTAATTGTTGTGACATAAAGGCATAGAGAAGCCAATGTGTCCATGTCTACTTCTTTGATTCTCGCTCAGAGTATACAGCACCCTTTTGTCCATTTTTTTTACCTTATCGATTTGACCTAGGTAAATATCTATGGTACTTTTATTTAGATCAGACCTAAATACTAACACACGTGTACTTGGGAAGTTGCAGTGCATATTAAACAAATGAAGTGGTGCGAAGCGTCGCATTATTGCAAAATAGCGTCATCTTGAAATATGGGATTAATGCTTTTCACTCTATATACCAAACAATTCAGCACACTCCACGAAACATTTTTTAGCGTTAAAAACGATATAAACCATATTTTTTGGTGTTTTATCTAAGCATAACTAGGTACACAATTTTCACAAGGATTGTTGCAGTCTTAGGTTCGACTGCCTCTTATTGAATGTGCAAAAGTAATCAACATTGCCTGATTTAACAGGCAATGTACTAGTATCTCGTGTCCTTCGATATGTCCTTTTCATGATTCATTTTTTCAGCGCCTATTTACAAAATGCTTTATCCCACACTTCTACTCGCGTGCGCCTATTTTGGGTTAAATCAAATAGTCTGCTTAATCAAATCAAAGATATTCGTGCAGCCCTAGTTACTTCTTTTATACTAAATAGATTTAAAGAATCCTTTTCTGGTCTGCAAACTATCAGAAACATGCAACGTTAATAAATTACACCAGCTTTGATTTTTTGTCATCATTAAGCTAACCTAGTTTACTCTACATAAACTAACGTTTGTCTCTTGTTTGAAAAGATATTTTTGCTGGACGGACCCATGTTGTATATATGCAAGTTCTATTTTATTTTAACTATTTAATCAAATATATTAATATTCCCGTAGGAGAATTATTTTATTTTTCTTAAATAATTCGTTTTAATACATTTTTGTAGCTAATTTGATTTACTAGCGACGATATAGGGTAAACAAAACTGAAGAAGCGGGCTAGAGGCTCTGGACCAATAAGCGGAGTAAACTGAGCGAGGTTGAGTCACAGTCGATAAACTTCGCAATGTCGGCGTAGTACGGTTCGATTGGTAGGAAAGAATTAGCCAAGGGGAGTGACGCTCTCAGAATTTTTAGGTGATCGAGTCGTCGCGCGAGCAAATTAACTGATTCATAAAGGGAACCCATTCCGCGGGTGTGAATACCAAGTTGTTTTCCGCGACGTTATTGAAAGTACTTATGACTTGTGAATAGTGGCTTTGTCAGCTAAAATGGTCAAAGGAATCGTTTGCCAAAAATATGCAGTTTTGCAATTGGATGAATCACATATAAGATTAACAAAAATTTTAAAAAACCGGTGGAGCGCTTGGAGGACAAACTCGTTGCTTTACCAACGTCTGCTGGTTAAGTTATGTTTTAATTCGAAAGTCAAATTGCTAAAATTATTGTTCCATTGAAGCATTTGCTAAGGTGGGGTCGCCCTTGGTGTAAATAGCACTGTTGTCTAATCGGCGAACAAGAAGCCGATGTAGCGACTGGACCCAACCTCTAGTTTGAATAGTGTAGGTGTTGGTCAAAAGAACGAAGCAGCTAAGCAAGATACCCGGCGATGCTGTTTGTTATTATTGTTATCCACACTGAGATGAAAAGTAAGAAATTCACAGATGTATAAGTCGACCGAAAGCTGAATGAGGTGATAGAGTTAGCCGAAGATAAGCTTTTGGATGAGGGAAGAGGGAGCCCGTTGGACGATGCACTGTGGAGTTGGCCAAGTTCAGTGATCGATTTCAGCGTGAGCTTCTACTGTATATAAGCGAGCCAGCAATCTACGCCGCCCAACGCGATATTTACATTATTTATAGCCGATCCTTAATTGTCTGAAATGCCATATAACTTCTGATTCTTGAACATCGTTGGCTATTACTATGAAAGCTGTGAGATACGCACGCTCGGCCTCACACGATAAACATTAGCTATGCAACCTAGCTATGCAATTTAGTAATAATTTAATAACGAAATGATTTAAAATCGTTAGCGTGTCACAGAAGGGTTACAATGGTATGCGTCAAAGGTCATTAGATGCACTCACATGCACTCTTTAGTTTTCTTTCGTATTGGGTTCTTCAAATGAGACATCGAACAGGCGAGTAACGGCTTTTTCAAAAATTCGCCAAATACGAGAAAACTCTGACTGCCAGTTAAATTTATATTGCCGCATCTCGCAGCACCTATCTCACGTCACACCATTTTTATATGCGTATCGGGTAGCGTAGGATACCCAGTCCACCTGACGTATACGCCTTTTAAAGCAAGTCAAAGAATACAGTCATTATTGAAAATAACATCTGACGCGCCTATTGATTACGCCGAGTTAGACTAAAAATCTTAACTAGTAGATATTTTAATACTACACTATTATTCGCATCCTTGTGTACATGAATTCTGGTATCATCGAACCCGTTAGGAAAAGGCCATTGATGTTTAACTTACATAAGATCAAAAACCGGTTAGCTTTTAGCTGATTTAACACCTTACCTTTTGCGTTTGGGCAAAACGCAAACCACTTATTGTGTTATTGACATTGTTATATATATATGTGAAGCTATCAAGGCTGTAACGGAATGTACTGAAACTTCTTGTTCAGCTTCTTGTGTTGTAATAACTGCAGACGTTAGTCTGACCTGTCGTATCACGCACACCGCAATTGGTCCAACTAAACGCAAGAGGAACCACCTTTAAAAGGATCTTACACTTTAGAAAGGTATTACTTCACCAGTTATTTAGATCTTTGTGACATCCAATTTGTTTTCAATTTTTTTATTCTTCTCAACTTATTATTAATTCTTTTTTTTATCTTGCTTGAATTTGGAACGATTGCGTGAAAGAGAAAAACCAACGAACAAGTTTAACGCTTTATTGTTACTTTGATTGATTTCACTTAGATTATTTTCTATTCGTTCTTGATGTACAATACAAAAAAAATTTGTTTGCTGTATGTTTGTTCGCGATTTTATCCTACAAGTCCATTTATCTATCATTTTTTGTTATCGTCAACCTGGAAATGATCAAGATTTCTTACTGATTATACCTACAGACTTATGAATCCTAGTGTCCTCAGCAAAGAGAGGACGGAATAAGGATCTTTATCAATGAGTATTTATAAATGTTCTTTTTTAGGCACAATTGAATTTTAGCTACATGATGAATCCAGCCCTATTCCTATAAGCAGAAAATGTATGTACATTGATTAATAATTTTTTCTTTTATTCTTCTTTAATGATATGCCAATAATGTAAGCGAATTGTAAGGTTTAAGAATCGACTACGATAACTTAAGAATTTTTGAGTTTTAACTTTGTTACCTGTCTTCAGCGAAAGATTATTCCTGACCGTGTAAATGTTATTTCTTATGAACAATTTTATCATATTGCGTGCGTGTACATCGATACAAACAATATTTTGCGGGGCTGAACTTCGTGGCGATATTAGCGTCACTTCTTTGGTTACCTTCTTAACCGAGAAATTTCCGCTCCATACATACGGAAGCAAACAGTCATCAGTGGTTAAGTTTATTAATAGCTGACCTTCGAGTTGGAAAAGTTGTGTAGCAGCGGCTTTTTCTCCACCTTTTTTTTCCTTAGCATTCCGTATATCATGTTTCCCCTTCTAAGGCTACATGTTTACGCACTTCCCCCAAACATCAACTTTGTCCTGTTTGGTCTACTCAGAATCTTCCATGGCCTTCTTGGTAATCTGATATTCCGCTCACATCCTGGCTATTATGTATTTGTTGGATCTATTTTTGCTTAGCCTCTTGCCTCGTCTATGAACAGGAAGGTGCCTTAAAAATGCAGCTTGAATTTGGCTAGACCAGTTTCGCTTATAGCCGTGTTTATTGTGTACTGTATTTCTTTCTTGCTTTGTAAACTTCCTTTTTATACAGGCGACGAAGACATCTGCCTTGTCAGCGTCTGTCGGCGTAAGTGCCGTCCATTTGACTCGGTTGAGAACAAGGAAAGCACATGGCAGACTGAGACAAATGTTTCATAAGGATTAGTAATAATCATTATGATTATCTGGCGTAAGAGACAAACGTATTTCTGTTAACGACCTGTAGGGAATTACATACTTTAAACAATTAGGCTTGTGATAAGTTTGATATCATATTATGCTCTGTACAACTAGCGGTCGAAAGTCATCTCAGATATCATAATAAAAGGAATGTTAGTTTTGCTTTTTTGTGCTTACTAGAAAAATAATTTACTTTAAATAAACAAGACAGATACTGAGCTGATGGAATTCCTGATTAGAGAAGGACACACACAAATTAAGCATACTTAGATACTGATCCGAGGCTTGGGGGAGTGCTATGATCGATCCTTCGTACCGGTATCGTAGTAATTCACGTTGGTTTTTTTTAGAAATACATAGTAATGGAAGCATATATGGTGCGGATTATAAAAACGTCGATTAACGCTTGTGTTCTATGCAATTTAGGGGAAGAGGCATATGTTGTCGCAAAATGTCGGGCAATGGAAGCGGCCTGAAGAGATGCCGCACACATGGAATTACAACGACCGGACACTAAAAGTATTTTTAAGTGAATGATCTAGTTTGGGTAAGGGTGGAACAGGAAAGCGTTTTACACAGAAAATATCATGCGTCTAAAGGAAAGAAAGGCAAAAAAGGAACAACGCAGCACACCGGATTAACGGTTACCTTGGGTAATTCTGGAGAAGATCTCACAGCTTCTGTTGAACAAATGAGACCTCATTAAGGGAGCCACACACTGAGGCAATGCTAACGCGGTTCCTGGTGTTTTCACTTCTTAGGAAGTTAGAAAAAGCCCTCTATCGAGTTTGGATTGCGAGGTTCCGTGGAGATTAGTGTAGTGAGTTTGAACCTTCACACAATGTGTTTACTGCGTTTCGTATTTATCTACATCCCTAAAAAACGGACAGGTTTTGGGCCTATACAAGTTAAGTTGCACGCTTTTCGCTGCATTAAGCCAAGGTAGATAAAGTACCATTAACGTCATTTTAGATATTGCCTTCAGAAAATCGCATTGTAAAATAACTGCCAGCTGGCAAAGGGATGATAGAGAATGGTTTTATGCAGCAGTAGTAGTGACTCGCAACAGAATAAGTTTCTCGTACATGATATTTACGGGGCGTGTCATAGGACTATTTTAGCCTTTTGGTGATAAGTGTTCTGGTGTATGAACTATCCTAAAAATAATCCTGACTGGACAGCCGGCAGTAGATTTAGCTATAATAATATTGTTATTAATAGTGAAATATAATTAGTAAAGTAATACTTGCTGAATTAATGATCCCTGAAAAAAATGCGAATAAGTACAAGAGTTATTACCGTTATTTTAGTATTTATTGATAGTCACTTGTGGCTTAACACTTAACGTGTATAGCCACTCACTACAATTCAGTCTTATTGTATTTAAATTTAAACAACGTGCTGCTTTTCTGAACTTTTTTCTGAAGTTCTTTGAGTAAAACTTGTTGAGCATAAACTTTAAGTGCCTATACAGTTGTATCACAATTTATTTGTTTATGCATTTGTTTATTAGATTTATTGCAATAACTGTTCCTTTATCCAAAAAACTATATGCATTGTGCTCCCGAATTTCGACCGTTTTTTTTGAGCTATCGCACCTGACGACACAGGGCAAAATTGAGAAAAATGACGTATGCCTTTATTCACGCGATTTTTCAGAGAATGTTTCCGATTTTAGTCTTGTTGACAGATAACGCTTTCAAAACAATTATTTCACTAATCAAACAAACGATTGCGACTGCTGTCAGGATAAACCAAATGTAAAAAGCACCTGAAAAACAAAAAATATCTATTAGACGTAAATACTCACATTTATTTCTCATCTAAGCGTGTAACCTACAAGTTGCTGTTTATTCCGACGTAACTAAATTATGTTGAAGTAGTCTAATAGAGGTGCATATGTCCTCTCGTCTGTTATCTAATTAATTATATTTTCGGTTTACATTTGCTTTGAGGGACTGAAATTGAAGACAAATGCTAGAGTTCTTCTAATCGGAGAGCTCTAAATTTACTCGAATAATTGATATACAAGAGGTTTTTTAATCCGAGCATTTGAAATCCAAACGTTCGTATATTAACCTTCAAGATCTTGAACCTCAAGTGCTTCATGCTTTTCACTGTAAAACCGTGACAGACAGCCTTCCCACGCCCCTGAGACGTCCGCATCCCACTTTGCAAGAAGCCCACCTTCATTTAACCAGGTCAATCTGCAATTCAAAGAACAAGACCATAATCATGATTCTCATCGTTCCGTTTTAGTTGTTTCTGCTTTTTGTTCTTTTTTCTTTACACTTATGACATTTCCGTCAACTTAATAAATTTAGTTGATTATATTCCTATATCACTTGGTTTTGCAAAATATTTGTCATATCTGGATATGGATTCCACTATGTTATGACTAAGGTATCCATTATTCTGATGCTGCTCATTTTGTAGTGTATCTGCCACCATAAACTTTTAAAGATGAAATTTTTGAAACAGCGCAGGAGCGCAGCAATTTAAATATAATGCACGATTTGCATTGATCAGAACTGCTATTATCGTGGACTTTTAAGAAAAAATCATCCCTGTCTTACCTTGTAAGTATGTTCCCCCGGGTTCTCTCATTCAGAGTGCTCCGACTGAGATGAATCACCCCCAGAAACGAGTACACGACCTGACGTGCTGCGTAGAATTCTCCAGCCGGCATCACGGAACAGTATGGGTCGGCCACCTGTGAATAACAACTAATGAACGTTTTTTTACAGCTGTTGGGACACACACACACATATATATATATATATATATATATAGCAAATATTTACATCCTATCGTCTGTAACATTTTCCTGTTACATTCCATGCAAAAACGCATGTTTAGGTTGCAGTTTGGAGCTAGGCGCATTCTTAAAGGTATGGGTTTAAACTCAACAAAACAATTGAAATGTTTTGTTGTTGGAGGTCACAGGCTAAATACAAATATTTAAATTTTAAAATGCGCAGTACTAGTTGTTTTGGCAAATGGCAATTGCCGGCAAAAATGGAGGACAGCAAAAGTTTTAACACGGAGTTCGGCTTTGCTGATTGCTGTTGTAGCCAAAAGGATACATATGTACAAAACGGGCTTTTTAAATCAGGTTATCCAGTGTTTTTTTTTTTTTTTTTTTTTAAATTTAGTCGTCTTTGCATTCGAGAGTTTTTAATGAGGTTGTCACGCAATTTGAAAATTATCGTGTCGCAAGTAAGCCTTGTGGTTTTGTCGTCGGCTACTAAGCTTCACGAGATAGGATCTGGTTGTTAAACCCAGTCCCTTTAGCCAGGACAAAATACGTTTGACCCGTATTGTAGAGCTGTTAGAGAAAGAAACCGCAGACGAGCAATGATGAGTGATCGAGGCTACTGTGGGTTACTACGGCGTACATTAAATACGGGCAAGGCCCTTGTCATACAAGCCCTAACACAGCGTATGGATCTAATTCATTCTTGGCCTATGGATTAAATTTCGAAATTAAGGGCACACTTATTATTAACACGTCTCGTCAACCAACAGCAAAATAACGTAAGGAGGTGAATCTGCAGTCGAGCTAACTGAGCAAAATTACCTTTTTAAGTACCGTGAATCGCGAAATTCTATTATCTCAAAATGAGCATCAATATGGATGGTATGCAAAAAGCAAGCAATCTTGTCTAAAGATATTTGCGCGCTTGTCATGCTTTACACTTTAGACAAATACCCTGAATCGTGAACATCATGTACGGTGTAATAGCGCGGCTGCTATAGAGGAATACAGCTGGAAAAGTGCGCCGCGGTCTGATAGACACGACCCGATGTTCTGCGTAGCAGGCAATACGCGAACTCAAATACTTTGGACAGTTGCCAAACATTTCAAGAGTAGTGCAATGGGCGTCTTCCCAAAAAACACCGGTTCTTGAAGCGCTTTTAAATTACATAGAAATCACAAAGGCACATAGAAGAAAAAGCGTTCCTTATCGCTGGGATTTGAGCTCCGTCACAATATGGTACGCGAGCTTTTACATAGGAGGCCAGCCTAGCACTTCTTGCACTTGTTGCTGACGAGAGATCTTCGACAGTCGTTCATCAGAAAACTCGCTGATGCTTCAAGGTATCAGTTTGGAATTTCAGATTTGCTAAGAGTGTTAGTTTCGCTTTTGGAACGTGCCAATGAGCAAATGTCCATAGATTATCCGAGTGTGGCCACTAAGAGGCGACGGCGAAGAGGCGATTCTGTGATTGTACTTGCCGAGAACGACAAAAACCAGGTTGAAACGGATATTGTTACAATCAAAGCAAATAGTGGTTTCAGTTTATTACTGCCAAGATCCTACAGGGTACTTATTTGTTGACCATATCTACTCTGACGACGAAAAAACGTTCAGTATTGCCAGCTACGCTCCCAGAAACTTAAGAAGCTTGATGTTTATAGCAACAACGAAGGACATTCTGGTTATACATTGACTTTTCAAAAACGAGGGGATCATTCCGTAGCCCATAAGCTATTAATGATTACATTCTAGGCTTTTACTAAATCCTTACAGCATATATATTTCACTTACTGTTGCGCCGACAAAGAAATCGGTGGTCTAATTGATGACAAATAAACAGCAACGACATCAAATGCCACCAAGGCTACCTAGCAGTGCGTTCTCCACGGCCACGCGGCATCAATAGCTTGACACCTTACGGAAGCTTCTTAAATCACAAAACCCATCAGACAACTATATTTGGTTCGAATGGGTATATATATATATATATATATACTAAGTTTTTTGGCTAGTGCGAACAGTTTTTGAGTTAGGAAAGTAAACCACGTCGATGTTATTTTGCCGGCAAACTTGCTACAGCAAAGCGGCAAATTTGCCAATACGGGCAACTTTTCTGCTTGCCCCTCTAAGATTCCTATGCATCGTTTGTATTTCCTATGTGTTGCTAACTAAACGTTACCCTTGCCAATGCAGTTCGACTGGCAATAATTACGGTACGCGAATGAACGACTTCATTTAGGATATCGGTATGAAAGATCTTGGCGGCACTGCCAACTGTACCCTGCCGCATTATTCGCAGGTACAAGGAGCGCCCCCACGGCTCCGCGTGATTCTGCAATTGAAATCGCGTTTTTGTAATATTCATCAAAATGACAGTTCATTTGTTAGTCTCTTATCATAAACAGTTTCGGTACGTGTAATGCAGAAGGACGTAGTAAAATAGCAATTAAGAAAAAATTGAAAGCTACTAATTAACTTTCCCTAAAGTGCGAATCTTTACAGGTCTGTATGTATAAGGCACTGATGGTCCACAAAAGACAAAGACCGTACTGAATTTCGCCATTCGGCTTTTGTACCTTTAGCAGTCTTTCTATTATGCTGTCTTTGGGAATATATAATTTGAGCTTTTTCTTCTGGTAAACATTAAATATTGAGTCGATACGCTTTTTCTCAGGTTTAAACATCATCGATGCCTTCATTTGACCAGCGAATGTGCACATCAGTATGAGGGTAACGCTAAGGTACCACGACATCCACAGTATTCGAATCGAGTTGAAGGACGGTGGAGGAATTGCTGCAACCAAGTATTGTAGAAAACAATAATATAGCAGACGAAAACAAATCAGGTAGATTAACATTTCGTTTTATGTAGTTACTTTCAACTTAAACTTGTTTCTACTAAAATATACAGTACCAGTGTTTTCCACCGGCACACCTGCCCACGTAAAAAGAACGGGGATTCATCGCATCGGAGGTTTAAAACTGTGCGTCAATGCAGCCCCCCTGGCTAAACCACAATTTCACTTAACAAGTGAGAACTATGGTCCATCCGAGCATACTTTTCGTTTGAAGTATCGTAAAAAATCTAAATTTTATAGCTATGGTTATTTTTTAGCTAACCTTATGGCGTTTTTTTGTTTTTTATTTAAGTCAAAATCCATTATTCTACATTCTAGCTCACAACGCTACTATTGTTACTTAGTGTCAAATAAATTAAAACTTCGAAGTTTAATATGCAGGTGGTCTTACAATAAGCTTGTCGTTACGGCTCTAAGATACTGGATAATGTATGGACAATGAATCTCTAAATATTCCATATGAATTGCTCCAAGTAGAAGGACGACATACCTTGTTGCCAGATGTTCCCAACCAGAATGAACGCGTAGTCCGCAGCGAGCTTGGTAAATGGAACAATTTTTAATGGTCGCATCAACACCCAATAACTGAAGGCCGTGACAAAGGCAAATAAAACCACGCCGCAAGCAAGAGTAAGCCAGACCTATAGATTTCAGGAGATAACATCTGTAGCAGACATATGGCTTAAACAACGCCTGATATTATATAGGAAAAATGGGTGACTAGTGCATAACTGGAGAGACAACGGCGCCATTGAAGTCTATTTTTTTTTCTACTATTTATGACGACGTAGTTTTAGTTATTCGTTGACGTTCAGTTTAATCAAATAGTGCATCTACGTTAACTCTAGTCATAAACGTAACCAGTGCATTCATAAGGACTATAAAATATATGATTTTTTAGAATATCACAATGTAGTAATCAGCTCCTATGGAATTCGTTATAGCAAAGAAAGGTTGGATTTTTATTATCTTGTTGCTTTAGTCAAGCCCGCTTCGTTTTAACAGCGCATGCGTGCGATAGTGGCCTGCACATCCTTCAAATATGAATTCTACCCAGATCATTCAGGATAGCAATCATCAGGCACTTCTTCATTTGAATCATTTAAGTGATGCAGAGTGTGTGCAGAAAAATGCACCAATGTTCCCTTCCCGCTTCTTGTCCGACCCATATCCACCGGATGTGCTTGAATTTATAGCGTAACCTTCCTATATTGTTTTGGAATACTCAAATAGACTTGATCTGATGCTTCGGCCAATAAAAAGCTGCTATTTTCGGGGTTAGGGTAGAAGCGTTGCGGGAGACAATCTCAATCTGTGATTTCTTAGTGACCTACTAGCACTCATCGTCAGAGTACGCTCGTGTATATAATGGATTAAGAATGCAGACTGAATAAGGAAAAGGAAAACGAGGAAATTTACTGCTTCTGGAGACGCTAGTCAGCTGCGTTCGAATTTTTCTACCCGATAAAACTCGGCTGGCTGGTTACATAATTGGTTGTATTTTGTGATTTCTAAACCTGATACGTTTCATTGGAAAATTAATAATAATAATGGCAGTTTTTTTTGTAGCTGAAATAGTGCGGCTCTGTAATAAGTAGGCGGTAATAAATGAAGCGTTTTACAGTGGCAAATAGGTATGGAAATTATCTGCATAGGAACATTAAGCACACGGCGGAAATTTGCATTTGGGTAAAAAAGAAAGTTGTAGAGTGGGGCATTTTCACGTGTCACGGTAGTTGTCTCGTTTATTGTTATTACTTGTACGATTATTATTATTATTCGTCTTTTTAATCAATACAGCAGTGACGAATATCGCATGCATAGCTTTACTATTTGCCCTTGATTTAATCTAAATTGTCGTGCAGTGCATGTCGTTGGTGAAGCTTGAGTCGACAGTAATTCTGTTATGATTATTTTTGAGGGTGAGCCAAGACTACGTAAAGAAAATATTGCCTTATGTAGGAGTCTTCATCATGATTGCCTGCTCAGACATGCTTATTGTTGGGCTTCTGCTGTTTATGAATACGCTAGAGGCGGGCTTCAAAATGTAGCTCTTCACGATTTCCGTACCGGTAGTGAAAAAGTCGTAATAATCGCAAATGCATTATTCTCAAAGCGCGATAATCTGCCGGCGAGAACGATGAGCTCAGTTGGATGAAGGCCAGGCGATTGCACCGCGAACGGTAGGTATTCCGCTGATGGGTTTGTTGGACACAACGTTATATCCGCCTCCTAGAATATATACGATTATCGTAAGATATATGAACGTAAGCGTAACACGGAAGAATCTGAATTATACTATGAATACATGTACAGGCGATTACTCATGTATTGTTTGTACACAGTTTATGTAGGTCCAATTGTATCTTACCTAAATTAACGCGATGGTTGCTTAATGTAAATTTCAAGTTTCAAAGTTGCCTGGAGGGCGTATCCTCGTTCTTTGGAGGCAAACGTTTTTCATTTGAACAGATTAATCATGTGAGCTACTAGAAAGATATGGGGCGAAGGCGATCAATGGCGTCAAATTGACCAAATATAGGGCGTAGTCACTGTTTAAGCGGCAACGTTTGGTCGGTCAATAGCAAAAATACATGTTAATATGATATGGCAAATTTTCGCTATATCATTCAAAAGGTATTTTAGCATACAAACTGATATATGCCGTTTAAGCCAAACGTATGGTTCAATGTGAATAGAATAAACGCGTTCTTTATCAAAGAACTTTTAGCAAACATAAACCCCTACAACGCTGAATGGAAACCAGACCAGTTTCACCTTTTGCGTGGTATGTTTCCGGTTTGAATGCAGATCGAGGCACGATGCGGTCGGTTGTGAATACACGCGCTTGTACAGAACTCGTGCCGGTATCCGTTAGATGGTAAATAGAGACCTGCTTATATTTGGCCTTTCGGTTGGCCAAAGGTGGATCAAATGAAAGAAATGGGCGCTTATCTGTTGATCACATGCGAATGTCAAGTGGTTGAAGCAAAATGACAATCGATCTCCGTGCGAAACTGCCTAAATTGTGGTGTAGGAGCAAACTGGACATAGTTTACCTTAACATGAATTGCTCCAAATGCTCCTGTCCATGATCCGTTTGGGAGCCGTTCGCCCCAGGTGCCGCAATCTAGAATATCGAACCTGTCAAAATACAGAGAAGTAGAGACAAATTAAATTTCGATATAACTTGTTCTTGCCGACGTTATGTTTAAGATGATATCTTTATTAAGATCTCCAGTGGTTAGAATTAATGACAAGTATGTTATTTTCACAAATACTCGCGCAATTTGAATATATGTATACTTGTGCCGTGTGTTTTTGTATATATTTGTACGTTTCATTCACCTGGAACCGTTTTAAAAGAAGTTAATCTACGTTAGAGGGTCGACTACGTACCCACGGGACAAACGTCCACTGTATTACGATTCTAGCACAACTTGGTTATGTTCAACGTTCGTATACAAATGGTACTTCACCTGCCCGATACGTGCCTATAAGTTCAAGTGATTTCAGCTTGACACCATGTATGGTGAGTCCGACTGCCGTACACGCTGTCCACTGTCTAAGGCAAAACACTTTTAAAACTAGCCTCCTTGGTCGGCAATAATAGTCTTTAATTTCGAAATACCTATCGACTGACTAAAACACAACGTTCCATTTAAGGGTTGGGTTTTGTTGTATTATCATTGCACAACGGAGTAGTGAATGCAGTTACCAAAGAAGCGCCCGAAATCAATCAACGTTAGTTATCGCTTCAGATAAACATCGGTGCACAGCTTACGAGGAAGGTATTAGAGGTTCAATGGGTCCATATAATACTTTCTGGTCCTTCGTATGTTTAGCCTGGAAGTAGTATTCGTCGAGAATGTCCACTTTATATGAGTGTGTTTGGAGGCTCCGTTAAGAATCGTAACATAGCTCTTTTTTTTTACGTGATGTTCGTTTTATTTGTTAGTTTGGTTACTTAAGGACCAGAATACGGGCGTCCAGATTGAAAGGTTCTTTTTTGCCGCTAAGAAGTTCACTACTAAGAAAATAATTTGTTAGAATATAGTTTTGCATAAAAATGTCAAGTGGTAGAAAATTATAATTCGATGTTTAGGTCTAGCTACAGGTGCATCTACGTACTTACCAGATCTAATGCCATATATACATCACGCAGATCCAAAAAGAGCGTTTCTAGCAGAAGTGAAAAAAGCGATTTAAATTTGTCCGGCTGATTTCGACTAGTCGGGCAAATTAAATTTTTGCAAATTTAAATTTATTTTCTAATACTCCCGTTACCCTATGCGATTGCGTCCATACATTTTGTAGATCGAATATAAAAAGAGCACACGAACTCGAATTTCAATGATGAACCGAGCGCATTCAAAATGTTTCCATAGAAGCCTCCAACCTGAGCGCCATTGCCGGTTTCGTTGAAGAACTGAAACGGTTTATACTGCAACATATACGAACATAGAGATATTATCAATGTTTATTTGTTGTTAAGGCGCACAAAATTATAACAAACGTCTAATTATAGTTCAGTGCTAGCAGTACCGATCATTATCTTACCGACTACAGGAAGAATGTGCTTTTGTAAATTCACTAAACGTATACGAGAGGTATAATAGAAAAGAGAAAAGGTTGTCAATTCGTTTGTTCACTAAAGCTAAAATAGATTAAGTTTAAGACTAGGCAAATTCTCTATTGCACCACAAGAAAAGGATAAGGAAATTCAGCTGGATCCTATCATTGGAACTGGGTACAGGTCTTACGTACGTTGAACGTAGCCACTCTTAGCAACGTCGTGTTCATGTTCATCCTTTGTGAACGATAACTACCAGGCGACTGAGTTTTGTTACGGAGCTTTGAGAGGTCTTCCAAGTTCATTATCACGAAGATTAATGTGCCTACCCATTGTTGCCGCTAGCAAAAATGAGCATCATTTCATTAACCACCATACAATATCACACTCCTTACCTGTAATATATTCAATATTTACACACCACAGGTAATAGGGCTTTCAGCGATTTGGCAGTTTTAGCCGTCGGCAACGTCGGCTCCAATTAGAATAAGCAGGCGCGTGGATCTGATAAGGTCGTATTGATTTCTCAAAATACAGTGCAAACGTTAGAATAGGCAAAGATGCACAAAGATCACAAACACCTTTAGACGGTTTTCAAAATAATAGGAACTAAATGCAAATACGTCTCATTAATCACATAATAGAGCACGACAAATCAGGCCTACCAGCTGGACTAGAAGTCGACGAAAAAATCATTAGAAAAGTTTTATGGTGTGGATTCTATTCCGTTGTGACCAGGGTGTCGGAAGGGGAAAATTGTCACAGGCAATCCCATAAACAACAGCGATAACAATCATACTAAAATATTCCAAAAAATATTGTAGCTGAAGGCCGTTAGCGACACCAAGGTCGCTAATCAGTGTTGTCCGCGAAGCGGGCTCCTGCAATCATCTGCGCTTGCGAAGGACAGACGTTTAGGGTAAACGCGAGGATGGACGAGCTGCATGGATCTGTTGTTAGACCTATTTCAATTAAAACTATATCCTTGGCGCAGAGTATGACGAGCTCGTGCCAATTTGTCGTTGCTTGAGCAGGGGATCAATTAAAGGGAAAATATCAATAATGCAACAGAATTGCGTAACGTACTTTCAAATCGATTAATAAACAGAAGCTTTGATTTATAAAATGGCAGCGAATGCCAAGGAAAATTCTATGCATAGTATGTAGTTTAGAAAAGAATGCTGTTCTTAACGGTGTCTCTCTGTAACTAAGCGAAAACAGCATTATGGCATATTGAGGGTTGGTAATAATCGAAGAATAAAAGCAATCGCTCTCGGGTTGAAGCCTTACGCGACACACGAATCTATCGTCGGAATGGGTTCATAGTCAAGTCGAAAGCGGAAGCTGTTGATTAGCCGTTGTCTAGAGTGCTAATCTATTAAATAAACAGGTACTCCATATGAATTTTACGAAAAAATCTACGCATTGGGCCTAGTTGATGCGCTACAAAAGACATGTACATCCAATTATATTCTGTTTCATAAAAATTCACGAAAGCAATGGACGAAGGATTTCCAAGACTAAAAACCGCTAATGAAGCAAAATCCCCATTTTGAATGTTCTCCCTCTCGAATACCATTAAGCCTAGCGTTTACATGCAAAAAAAACAATCTTCCTGCACACGGACAAAACGTAGAGCTTATCGATGGGCCGATATACCTGAAACAATCGGCTAAGGCCGTTTAGAGCTCTGTATGTCTCCACTGGGGATGACAACAACCGATATGGACTTTGGCGAAAAATCAAGACAAACATCATTAGCACCCATTGGCCGGTAAGTCGCTGCTACTGCTGCTGCAGCAGCGTTTGCTGTTATTGTTTGCTAGTTTGACAACTGTTTGACGCTGGTCACACTGAAAAAAAAACTGCGAAAGGCGAGAGGAAAGCCATTTCCTTTAACCGCTTGTCAAGGGAAGGTTTCTTTTTGTCATGGCATCCCTCCCCGTCTTTCTAATTTGTCTCAACTTCTCTATGGCGAAAAAGAAAATCAAGATCGCACTTGCTAGCTGCTCGTACGTGCGTTACAATCGCCACTATCGTAGACGCAGTTGGTGTGAAAACGGAGCTTCGCTCGCGTAGAGTTCGTCGTCATTTCTTTGGAACATCCATTCGTATGTACTAATATATGTTACAATACGACAACACCTACGAGTGCTACTAGCGTCACTGATATAGGCATATTTTGAAGAATTAAATTAGAATCTTGTTGACCGATTGGCAGCTGCATTAATATGTAAGACTACTTTTTACAATTTGTGAATGTAGGTGCTGAACGACGTGCTTGTCTCAGGCCACAGTAGCACATAGGCCGCTTATGACACGAATGATACAGATATACGAGGCGTGCACAGTGGATTATATCGATAAAACAGACTGAACCATATGAACAAATATTCCTTGTTGACTTCATGTCTTTCGGACATATTTAGGCTCACTAATTTATTGAACTCTTGAAGACCTCTCCTGGGTGGATTTTGTTGTTTCTCTTGGAATGAAGGACGGGATTTTAAATGGGCAAATATGATTCTTGTATAAGACAAATTAAGCGTTTGACACTGTTTAGTAACACTTACGACTAATGGCGAATCTGTTAGAAATATAAACGTGTTCGTGCATAAACGCAAAGCTTTCCGTAGGAATAAGGCTTGTTGTCTTGCTTATGTCCGATAATCAACTGATTGTTATTTTCGAATCAGTATCTCAAGGGCTCAGACAGAGGCTGTTTTTTTTTTGTTTCAATGCTATAGCAGTTCCTATGACAAGCTTATGTGAAATTAAACTCTATCACTGCTAAGGGGCTAAATCGGTATGAGAATGATCTTGAGACCCACACTGGCTAGTTTCTTTTGTGTCAATATATATATATATATAAACATCCGCATATGCTAAAATCATATGCGGATGTTTGTATAACTATTGAGAAGACTTATATCACACGAAGCTCGTTACAGTCGAAAGCGACGCTTCAAATCTGAGGTACACTCGTATCATCTGTTTAAGTTTCTTGGTGTCTTACGATTGCCGAATTCGACGCATTTACGCTTATATTTTTTTCTTATAAACGCCATGATGTGTGTGCACTCAAGCATACATCCACACTTAAGCTTAGAAAACCAGTTCTGTGCTCCAACGCTGTATAATTGTATTATTATATACGAAAGACTAGTAAAATTGAACGATCCATTAACAGAGACACAAAAATGCTCATCTGCGACACAAGTTTGTTTTTTTGCGCATTCATAAAAGTAAGTCTTGTAGCTCATTCTGTCAGCGACTGCTGGGTGGTTTAGCTTGCAAATGCAACGGAATGACTGCGTAAAATTGTCTTTTATCAATCATTTCAGATGGCAACTATGGGACTTCATCGCAAGCTGCCGATAGTCGTTCCCGCTATTTTTGCGCTCCTGTTTAGTGGCCTTAACCGACTGGGTGTGTAAAGACTCATATGCGTATCGTTTACACACGTAATAAAAATACGTGCATTTACGCTAATAGGCAATTTGGATTATTTTCTTCTCGTCTTTCATTTAGCGAAAACGGCTTCATGCAGAATTATCTCAAGAAGTACAATGTCTACAGGTTTATCGGAACCCTTTTTTTTCCGTAGGACTGACTGTCGTCGAACAGAACAGATAGTATTATTTTGTCATAGGGAACGCCGCTATTGTTTTGCAAATGTTTTCGAGTTAAGGCAAGCAGTAATTTTCTCAAAATTGTTCAGTATCAGGTGATCAGGAGCTACTAAGGTCAAGCTCACCGAAGACTTCGTTTTCTCTTGAAGAGCTAATGCTGCTTTCCGACGTTGCGGAGAAAGCTCAAAAGAAAGGTGCCAATGAAGAAGATCTAGCAAACGTCTCCAACTTTCAACATCGGTATAGCATGCGCGGATCATTTTTCCGCTTATACAGTGCTTTTTTATAACACAAAGCGGATAGCATTTAAAATGACTATTTTTAGCGATAGATTTTAACATACCACTTCACTTCTTTGATCAAAGAAGACACACTCGTCGATTTATATGGAAAGCTTTTTACCATATCTGGTCGACTCAATATTGGTCGTGCGACTATAAACTGAAGTGTGCAAAACGCGTATACACGATTACTAAACAGAAACATCACTGAACAACAAAAGCTTATTTGTTGCATAAAAGTGTGTAATTATTATTTGTTTCGTTTTTAACCGTGTGCAGTCGTTCTATTCATTTCTGACACATGTTCTGGCGAAATATGGAAAATCAACGATCGCTAAACGTAGATGTCGTCTTAGAAACGTTGTTTAGACCACTCATGACAAAGTCCGATGCGCATTAAGCTTCGTGTCAAGGTTACAAAAATATCACGGCCACCTGACGTGCTAAAAATGCCATGCTACCTGACTCCTCACCATCTGTGGAGAATTGTTTTTAAGTTAGGGCCAATGACGATGCAGATTCGTTTAACTTCAAATCGTCCGTTAGGATCTGCAAAATTTCGAATACATGGCGTCTGCAGGCACAGTCACACGCGTGAAGCCCTATAGCCTATAGAACATATAGAAGCCTATAGCTTCAAAGCGACTAAGCTTATGCTGTAACTGCCCTCTATTGTTATTTGTTATGGTTGGTCATAGGTTGAGACAAGTTATTCAGACTGCTCGAGTTGCCGCAGGCAGCGGACAGAGTACAGGATCAGACGTTCTTGATCAGACGATACGACAGGTTGGTCAGTCATCGATGCTAGGTAGACAAAGGTAGACTATTAAAGCCCAGTCAGAACTATAAGTGTTACAACCTTAATATTCTATTCAATATTAATATAGATGTATAGATATAGATATAGGTAATATAGATGTACCTGTGTACTCTGATATTACGTGATATGATAAACGTGATTCTTCGCATCATTTCAGTCTACCAAACTGATCAAAAGATTACAAACTGAAGTCGTGTAACGGAATTTTCCTCCACTCATCATGTACATGATGCTGTTACCCGTCTAAGTACTTGACTTTAAGTAAGATAAGAGGTCCAATAAACATTGCTTGGAAGAGGCACCCCTTAGTTCGTCTAAATGTCCGAGCCTTAACAAGACCTAGTAGTCCAGTAAAAAAAATATCCCTTACAAAAACGCGTCTCATCTTAGCCATTTGGTTATGACGCTTAGGAGCATAACGCACATCTGACCCTATCAGTTGATACCTTCGTACATGTTTGAATTAGATGTGGATGATTATACTACTAGCCATATGAAAAGGGAAAATCTTCAGGTGCAAAGTTTCTCAATGACGAGAACAAAAGGCATATCGATCGAAGCAATCTTCTTATTGGTCAAATTCTTAACTACAGTTAGTTGATTACCTTATATTTAATATGTAACACTACATGAAATAGACAGTCTGCTTAGAATCGGTATACGATACATCTCAGTACTATCCACTTGAGAAATAAGCTCGGGTTTATGATCAGCGCATCGTAAAATCGTACTTCGAGCGCACGGCTCAACAGGTGGTAAATGCTGGGCTATCGACCAATAGGGCCTAAAGCATAGCTGCCTAATAGTCCTTGTTTCAGCTAGACCTTCCCATTTTTTCTTTTATTGAAATGCCTGCCTCACTATTGCGGAATCAAATCAATTTTTCTGAAAGAAGTCGATATGACATTCAACAGTACCTTCACGGAGAAGGCCAACAGTAAAATAAAAGCGTTATAATACAGCCGTGATTTATTGTGAAAAAATTTACGTCACTAGGTTATATACGTCACGTTATAGGTAATAATATGATGGCAAGCATGCTAGAAAACTAGGAAACTTAGCATGCCCTAATCTAAGAAGGAGTCGCTCCTGGTGGAAAGGGCCAAGCAGCACCAAAAGAAGTCAAATTAGCGCACAAATACCGTATATCACCAAAGTAATCTCAAAGTTGCGTCGGTTACGTTAAAGGAAGTACAAAAGTGATTCAGTACAAGGAATGTTCCTTCCGTGAGGCATTCTCTTTGTACAAAGACGCTTTCGAGAGACTACCGTCCGTTGAGGATGTAACGGAAAACTTCGACTGAAAACGGCCGTATGCGATTATTCAAAGATTGCGTAAAGCGATTTTTCAAAAAATAGCTTAGTGGTAATTGAAAATGTCATAATGGTTACCGTAGGCCCAAGTGCATATAGATGGTTATAGACGACTCTTTTTAGTCCGACATCTGCAACCACTCCGTATTATCATACCTTTGACCAAAAAGTGGAGTAGAGTACAGAGCTTGGAAATAGGCCGTCCAATGTTATCAAGCATGTTTTGTTCGATGTTTTGGTAGATCCCGTTTGCTTCTGGATGTACGATAAAATCAGTAGAAATACTTCCAGCTTTTAAAAAACTTATTTCCTAGCTTTAAAAAATACTTCTTGGCTATTATAGGGTCATCTGTAGCGCAGATATATGAACGATGTTAACAGTCTGCTTGCTAATGTTGCCATCTTCAATTATGTTAGATATGATCACTACCTGTAATCTATCGCTTAAAATCTATTTCGTCTTAGGATTAGTAGTATATATATTATAGTATAACATATTAGGTTATAAATAAACTGCTGTTGCTACTTTTATATTACACGTTTTATGTGCAGGTTCGAGCAAGGATCAATGCGAGCGGCGGAACTGGGTCGGTATCGGACACATCCATTTTTGATGCTGCACTCAAGGCGATTGCGGGAAATGCCGGTTCGGGCAGTAAATCTTCTTTGGACAGCTCAGCCCTTGTAGACACGATCGTGAATCAGGTAGATGAACCTGAACTGACGCTTTTGTTAAGACGCAATCTGATAATATCTTTTTCTTCGTGTTCATAGATTCGTCTTCTCCTAATTTAAAAATACCTACTCTGCTAAAATAGAAATGGTTAATATTACGAATTAATCAATTTGTTTGCTTTGTCTTCGATCTAATGATCTACAACGTTTCACTTGTAGACAAAAGCAATATGTTAATAGATAAACACTCTTCATTAAGTAACCGTTAAGTAAATTTACACGACTAACTACTAGCCTAACTAGTAACTAGGTGTACATACGCAGAGTCCACAATGCGTTCCTAATCACGAATCCTAGCTAAGTCCAGATGCTCCAACAACACCTTCACCGGCCGACAATTCGTTTATCGGTGGGATTCTTCGCCAGCTATCTAACAACGATAATGGATCTGGACGGGCCATTTTCGACGCTGTGGTCAAACAGGTGGGATGTTTACGCTATTTTTGTTTCTTATTCCATTAAAATCAACGGGTATACAGTTTTGGTCTGAAACTAGTGATACGGTACGTTACGCCATAGTCCTTTTCGGACTTGCATGTGTTCCAAGGAGTATTAGAGGTACGTCTCTTAGATATATGGTGGTTAGAAAAAAATCGCTCTTTCTAATGGCTGATACAGACAAGGTCATCAATGTACTACAGCTTAGCGCTTAAATCTAACTAACATTTCTCTAAAAACTACTAGAACCGGGTGATTTTTCCCAAATTTTCGAAAGGGTAAACAGATTCATCTCTGAATTCATTAATGCACCAGAACTGCTCTCACTCGAAGTTTCGGTTTCTACGAGTGGACAGAACGAGCACAGTTGGTATTGGCGACGACGCGTATTTCAATTGTGTTAAGATTACGGTTTATGTCTTACTATCGGTTTTTGCGATGATCGAAGTTTCCTGCTGAAGTTCCTCAGCTTTTCTTGATCCTTTTACTGGTAAATAGTCTCCACAATATATTTTGTATAATAATCCATGAGATATAACACATGTATGAATAGGTTAGTCGAGGCATTGGTTGCTTAATCTATCATTGGTCAATTTCATTATGTACACTTACTGAGTACAAATCAATACACTGAAATAAAACGATCTGTTCGTTTCGGACTAAAACAACAGTTAGTATCAACTACTACGACAACTACTACGACTACAACTCCAAAACCAGAATTTCTCGAGGGACTTGTGCGTGCCTTTTTAGGACGTAGGACACCACAGGAGGTGAGTCATACGTTCTCATTCAACAAGATGTCTGAGACGATACGATCCTAGGCAAAAAGATATATAAGCAATTACCGATTGTGTGAGAGCGAATTATCTACAAGGCTGCTTCTGCTGAAATTTCGAAGGGCATCTGATTCAAGTTGACGCTTCTCGCCCAAAGCATGTCTTGCCATATGCACATTATGAGCAATATATTATATAACACTCGTGTGCTGGCTTCTTTTCCCAGTGTAGAATATACATGTTTATTATACATTGCCTATCTTGTACGTACTGAAACTAGCTATTCCATTGAGTCCTCCAATACCGGCTGTGCGAGCCGAGTGCTATTTAATACTATTGCTTATTGATAATGAGATGCGACGGTGCTCCGCATTTCACATACGTTCAAAAACAGGAATCTACGTGTCGTTTGCTTCGCTATTCTTGATATTTATTATTTAGTCATATTATTCAGATTATTTAGTCATGTGTAGAAGGCAGTGTCACGATTATAAAGACTGTGTGAATTTTCAGATTGAAGGGCGTGCTAATGGTGGCAGAACGCCCGCTAGCCCCTCGCCTTCAATGCCTGACCCGACAAATTTACTTGAGGGTTTCAAAAATGTTCTCCAGCAAATTCAGGGCAGACAAGGTAATGCGGACAGGGCCAAGAGGGCGGGAGGGGAGGGGAATAGAAAAAAAGTAGGCTCATAATCGAAATGGCAAAGGAAATAGATGTATGAGTAATTTATTATTTTTACAAAAAACGATAATGACCGTTATTATTGAATATATTCATCATTGGACAATCTCGATGCCCCAATGCTAACTCTTCTATCAGTCATTATTAACGCGTACCTGTGATCTGCGTGCCGCAATCAAACACGTATCAATCGAATCACACATCCCTCCAAATGTAACTGTTGTGTACGTATCCGTCTCAGTGATTCAGTACGGCCTTAATCCAAAGGCGTTGTTCTTTCATCCAACGAAGAGGTCATTCATCCAACGATTGCAGGTCTACTATGCCCCCTTGGTTAGTTCTTTTCAGAGTATCCAAATAAAGTGTGCAGAGTCACAGTTAATCGAACCAGCCCACACGGCTAAACTAATACCTAATGACAGTAGCATTGTGAGATTCGTTTGGCTTGCATCTTATTTTTGTCAACTTAGATACTTTAGATTAGAACGATTATTCTTTCAGTAATTCTTCTCGTTAACAGAGAAAAGCTTGCCCGTTTGCGGTATTGCTAAAGCAGTTCCAGTAATATCTATAACAGCTCTGATTATCTTTGACCTGACGGGAAAACGGTATGATGCAAACGGCTCGGTCTCAACATAGTCGTATACGTTAAGCAAGTCTTAACTATGCAGAAATGCTACGCAAAGGTGTGCCTAGTTTTCTCGCGCTTATTTAACAATCAGTATAAAAGATGATGCTTCGACGGGAGTTGTTCCAATACAATGCCGCCTAAAGTGTGGCTCAGTGTCGCCAATTCAACTAACATATTTAATCGGTTAGTGCCTGTCTAGTATCTATCGGCCTCCAGAACGTTTTGTAACTAATTAATGTATATATCTTCTTGGAAGGTCCTTCACTGAAGACACAGCAATGTGTTTACTATGTATGTCCTTGACGTAAGCTGCGAAAACTCGCAAGAGCTGAATCCCAACAAGACGCATTACTAGATTGAAAATACGCAAGCTATGCAGTGATGGGCAATGCTGACTTTATTTGGATAAGGCGATTTCGGCCTCGAAGACCAATATAATCGTCGGTATATTCGAGGTCTATGCTACTTGTGAAACCGTCACCCATATTAGATATTATGCTGAATTTCTAGTATTCTGAGTGGAAGATCCCGTATACGAGATTGCACAAATATAGAGGGTTTCTCGTCGGGTTCTTTTGTGGGCTTTACCCACACTATGGTTTTAAATTGATGGCTAATTCTGATCGTACGGAGGCTAAACTGCAAACGTTTCGAGAGCCTTATGCTAGATAGGCAGTTAGCAAATTCAAGCACGTTTGCCCATAGACGATAAACTGAACCATCTAGATTCTGCCCTGCGTTTTCCTCATCTGACGATTGGAAAAAAGTGCGGTGATCAGGACATGCCTTATTATAAAGAACTTTACAGCTTTCACAACCTCTTTCCTGACAAAAAAAGCCGTACCCAATGCACGCTCATATAGAAAATATTTTAATAGAAGCTTACATCAACTGCACGAGCGCATGCATTTCGTTCCCCTTTCAACCGAACTGTATATACAGAATTGTGTTATTCTGTATAGTGATACTAAACCCGTCATATTTTTCGTCACATGAGCGTCACCTGCAACATCACAATTGCGTTTCAAAATGCATGAATTAGCTATGTTCAGTTATATAAGTATATAGGACTATGCAAAGTACATTACAGATAGAATCGGCGCGCTATGCTCAGCTATTTCTCTCGTCGTTCCATCTACTTTGTACTCTCGGACAAACCATGCGAGTTCTTATTTGATCTTCATTGCTATTCTGAGGAACTAAGCGAAGTAAATGTCTTTTGAATTGCAGCTCTTTGTCGCTTCTTAAATAAAGGCACGTATCTCGTAGAAGAAAAAACTACCCGAAGTAAGCTTCGGTATACTCTTAAGCAGATGACGACGCTGTAAACATTTAATCATAGAACTAAACTTTATGAACTAGATCTCGCTAAGGTGCTTTGACCGGCTAATACTCTGACTGAGTTATAAAGAGATCCCTGGTCTAACACCCTGTTAGGCCAGAATATATACATTACACGGCTTAAATGAATAAACTCGCTAAGAAGATTTTGCATGATCATTATTTGCTGTCCTTAATTTTAAGGTGGAGACGAAAATGGCGGGCCGGGCGGCAGTCAAGGCTCAACGGGACCTCTGCTTCTAGAGACCTTCATTAACCAGCTCAAGCAGCTACAAAATAGGTATCAAATGGTTTCGTTATACTTCTACATTGACAAATACCTATTTAGATATACATCATAAACAGCGCCAGTTTGGATTCCCCTGTTCTTCTTTGCCTATCCTTTCCCTAGTAATAGCTTTATTTAAAGCATATCAATGGAGCTTTTCCTGCACAACGTCTAAATGCTTAACTCCCCGTGATGGTGTAGGTGTGCCCACTAAACTCATAGGCACGTGAACAGGTATAGATTTAAAATTGGGCGTAGTTCCGCTTCAAGCAAAAGGCCATCAATTTAATGCGATATAATAACTAATGTAAAAACCCAATTTCTTACCAGAACAATCAATCGTTTATTCAGTGTTTTCGTGCAATTCGTCTGTTTTCTCCCATTTCGAGCACTCGGTCATTGAATGCAAACTATGTAGTGTAAGTAGATATAGATGAATCAATATCTTATATTATTAAATGTATTTCCTAGTAGGTGCAAACCTTTTGCTGATTCGTCCAGCTATATTCACTCATACTGCCCAGGCTACTGCATAGATGAATGATGCCATGGTAAACAGTTGCTTGGCTAACACCGTAATCCTTTTTGAAAACATACACAGTTTTTTTTCATAGTATCTTTATATGAAAACATCTATTAGTTATCAAAGGGTAATACTTTCCTAACAGACACGGACTATTTGACGACAGTCTAACACCGCGGTTTAGAATGGCCATAGTAGCGACATTCCGAATGCTGTTTGCCCTCTTCCTGTAATTCTCCTATTACGGATGAGAATTTTCCCTGTAAATTCGCTGAGTTGACTGGAAAAACCGGCTAAAGGATCACACACGTTAGCTATTTCAGCCTTTGCTTATAATCTGTCCGTCTTAAGCTTTCGTCTCTGATTTTTTACGAAACACTAGAAAGTAGGATAAGCTCTTAGAGGTCCCTTATGACTAACAAAAATACTGTAAAAAGACTCCGTTGTCTCCTAATTTAGGTCGTGTTATTTATTCGGGTCATGGTCTATCCATGAAACCTAGGTACTAAAGGTAAGCACCATTGCCCCCAAGTGTCCTTTATAATACAGTGCAGCCATCGCCTTTAGCTATTATAATACATATCAATGATGAAATGAAGTCACTTTCTAACAACGGTGACTTCCGTTACCCTGAAGACATTTATTGTAGACAGAACATATTGATTATACTAAGTGAATTCTGAATCACTGTATACGTATATTGAACTAAAGCTACCCACATGGGCTGTAACCTCATGCCAGGACTATCTATATAGTCCCGGTGCAATTTTTTATTTCCACTGAGTAATACGAGGGCTGAAAATTTAGTACACGAAACTATTCGAAACGCGTTATCTCAAACTATAACTAATGGGCACACGTATATTTTTCGCATGTGATGATACGATGTACAGTCTTACGTTATAGCGCATGACGTATAGGTATACTTATTAAGCTAAAAGGCATGAGAAGTTCGGAACTGGGCATAGACATCTTTTCTTAGGTGTGGGGAGCAGCCGTCTGAAACAATGTTTATGCGTGCAACACAGACAGACGAAAACATTTTGTCCTCGGGATTTGAAACTAGCAAATTCTTTGCGCTGTAGTATTCCAAACATGCCAGCATAAATTACATACTGACACACACGTTACAGTGTATAAGCAATGTTATATATATATATATATATATTGTAGAGTGATAACGCATAAGAATGCAATGTAGTCGTAACCCCAAATTTTTTTTTATTGAGGTACCGATAAGACATCGAGATGGTACGCGTTTTATGGCGTTTAGTTTATGGATTGGATTTATTTGTCATCGGAGCTCATCGGCCGTATCTAGTTGCATTGTCATTGCAGAAGCAGAACGACAAGATAGGGTAATTTATACCTAATAATTTGATTCGTCTCTTCCAATAGTAAGCTAGTATAAAGAGAGAAGTAGTAGTCAGTGCGTTACGCTGCATTTCGTTATTTTGTAGATGTTGAAGTGCGCTGTGACGTTCTCCAGAAACGTTAACCTTTCTCAATAAACATGATCGTTCCCACCGACAGTCGCTTTTGTGTTGTTGTATTGACGATAAAGACAAGCCGAAGAAACATAGTACATTCGTAAAGTATTTTATCTATTCGATTACCCGCAGCTCTTACATCCTTGTCCAGTAACACCGTTCCTTTCGCTTATATTGTTAACTGCAATAATGAGCCGGCCTTCATTGTCGCCAAACGCAGGAAGTTACGCCACGGTTCTTCGAAAAAAACCCACTCGAGGCAGTGTTTGGTGTTGTACAGCGTACGACGCTCCTTTTGACATTCTGCTTTTTGCTACCTGCGCCTCAACTGTGATGTTGTCTGCGGCGCGGATGGAGGCCATGACATGACTTGTTGCGATACGAAGTTAGTCTTTATTGATCATCGTGGCGGGTTTCGCCCTTAGGCGTATGGGACTTTTCATATGATGCAAAAGCAAGACTACACTTTTCTTCGAGATAAATGCATGGCTTCTATTTAGTGTATTGCCCTCCTTCATGGGGCTTTGCTGCGTGCACCGAACTGTCTTGATGCCCTTTGAGGTGTGAGCGAAGAAGCTTGACCTGAGCGAAGTTCAGTGGGTACACGAAGCGGAATGTTTCTCTTTAACTGTCATGGGCTTGCTTACATGTGCTCTCACAAGTATATTTTGCTCTTAAATTGTTTTTCTCCATTATTTCATAGGCTGGCTCTTTGACTACTGTGAAGATGGCTTCGTCTGCTTTTCTACGTCAAGCGACAAAAATTCGTCTATGGTGCTTTTCTGCGACAAAAAGGCAATAGCGCCACCACAAATAACCAGTCATCCCTCAAAAAGTACAATGGAAAGTAGCAGCATGTACGACGATATTATTCAGATAATTGCCAAAATATGCCAAAACGACCAAAAAAGAAGAACGGATCCATCGCGAAACAAACATTTTCATAAATGCAAAATCAGTAGATGCAGACGACATTGTCTTCACCTTGGTTCGACGGCAGGCGACGTAGAGCTCACTGCTACTCGTAAATAACGTTGTCATTAAGTGGGCTATCCTTTAATTAGCAAAACACTCTAAAGTTGCTGAAAACTATGCTGGCCGTCGCAACGATTGAGAATTTACGTGGGCTCCTACTAGGGACGACGCCGTCCCTCTTTGATATAAATATTGTACATTGTATGTCATATGGGCTGCTGTTTGTGTGAAAACACTTGCCGGTAAATCACGAAAGATTTACTAAAAATTGGGTCGTCTGCTTGTTCTTTACGGAGAGACGTGATTACGACGATCGAGGGCAAAGTAACTGCGGCCAACCAAGCAAATCACGCTATAGTCGATAGCATTGTCGCATATAAACGCGTTGGCTCGCTCTTAAATGGTCCTGTATACATTCATGTTGTATTATGCGCGTGTTCTGCTATGCATATACATATGATGCCAAGAGCAATTAAAAAAAAATAATGATCGGGATGTGCAATAGTTACAATTAACCTTAAAAAGAAAACGCAGAAAGCTCACGCCGCGCTAATTTGAAAAATTCGGCCTATCTGAATGACTTGATATGTTATGAGATAGTGATTGAAACAGCTATTTAACTGAGAACATTTTAGCTATCGCAGGTACAAAATCATTTTAGAAAAATTGAAGTAGCGTCACAAAACAATTAGCGCAGGTAACTAAACTGTTGTGCAATAGAAAGCAGGAAATAAACAGGAGAAACCATGCCTTACAAAAGGACAGGCAACACTTTTCGGGGGGACGTTGGTCTGGATAAGAAATAATAGCTATTAAAGACTTGGGAACATGACATTTAGGAAATTATAATTTCGAGGGAACACAAAGGCTCAGTAACACTTGTGAACCATAGAGCTTTAACACCGGTTGTTCAGGAATTTTAGTTGGTAGTTTGATGTTCTGTATGGTATCGTTAATATCGTTTTTTGAAGTTGGTCGGGATAATTTGTGAGACTTGTGCCTTCGGGAGCAGGGATGGCGACGATGTTCTTATTTTACTAGGTACACTTTTATTGTAAGAAAATATTCAACCATAAATCATAAGTTCGGTATCTTTCTACTTGCGCATTTAGTAGTCATTATTATTCATGTATTTCTTCAATCTATCCAACGGCGGGGGAAGAGTCAACAAGTATCCGAGTGGAAACTTATAACAACTTCACCGTGAGGAATGATTAACACTGCATTTAACAGTATCATCATTTTTCTTCAGAGGCGCATCCTCTCCCGATCCAGGTAACATTGCGGGTAGCCCCTTCGGTGAATCGACGCCGGACCTTACATTCCTTCAAAACCTAGCAAAACAGGTAATCCTTAAATTTGTAGATATTTCAATCAGCTTTATGAATCTATAGTTAGTAAATGAGCATGTGTGGTTTCAATCAATTTGAATATCACGCAATTAATCAGAAGACTCTGAGGCGGTGATTTCTAAATTAACTAGGGAGGTAGAGTGTTCGATTTTAACTTATTCAGATATCGAAAATATTACTCGCTATACATTTCAAATAATGTAATGATATAAGTAATTTTATTCCTGAGTTCTAGTTAGTCATGGTCACTGCAGAATTGCCCAGTAAAGAAAGGTATAGTGTACAGATTATCTTAGCAGGTGTGCCTTTGCCAGGTCACAACTCAATTATCCGACCATACTTTCACAAGTATCCACTAGATGAGCCTTGGCAAACACCCTACTGTGAGCTATACTTTTCAGCGATATATACAGAGAATTCCTCAGAAATACTTTAATTTCTTTCAAACTATGTATTACATAGACAGGTACTTTAATGACAGCTCGAAGTCTAAGGTGAGACTTAATTATTTAAAGTGGACCCTTTGTTGCAGTAAGAGTTTAATATAGGAACTCAATCTTTATTATCAGATTTGTCAAGAGCCAAAATAAATAATTTTTTTATTGGACTCTACGAATCTAAGTTATCTGCCTTACGTAGTTTTAGCTAGTACGAGTCTTCACATACACGTTTATAGTTGACGAAGATTTTACGAATGAACAGCTCGAGTAAACGAAACGCTTCCATAGTTTTATCTTGTATGTTAACTTACAGGAACTTAGACCTAATCTACGGTACATTGTCAGTGACCTGATACTTAATCAATTCGCTTTTGAAAAATTAAATTTTTAAGTACAGAAGCATAAACGGTGTCGAACTAACGATACATGCTTACTCCGTTGCGTCCATTGTATCGTGGATAGAAAGCGATGCGATGTTGTGAACTTAAAACTGGCTATAGTAAAATACGTTTATGAGCAGGAATGGCTAACGATCAGGGGTGTTGGGTTTTTCTGGCCTACCAATCACCTTGAATTCTTGTTTTCTGACTATCCCTTGGCTTAGAGCTTTTGCAATTTCTCTCGACTTGTACTCTTTATGTGCGCTAGTCTAACAATCGTCAAGTGATTATTATTTGTTATAAGCCAACTCTATGGATGCTTATAAAGCACCGTACCGAATAGCCTTGAATATAGCCGATTCGGCCTTTTAAAACCATATGACTAGTCGCTTGTATAGCCATATGACTAGTCGTGTAGTGGAAACTTGTTTTTTCGTAGCGCACATGTAATTTCTAATAGTTGGCTCATTATTATAACAATATGGTACCGCTTAGGAAGCTTTACGTAGCTTTAAGTTTCTATCTGCCATTGTTTCCCTTTACTTTTATTTTCTCTTGACCTTTCAGTTTCAGTCTAGGTTGAAACCCGGAAAAGTGCGCGGACATTCGGTGGACTCTGCAACTCCTGCACCGGCAGACGCACCTATTGGGTTAGAAGGTTTTGAGGGTTTTATTCCCGAGGGTAGAAAATCGGGTGATGTTGACGACGCATCACAGCAGCCAACATCACCGGTGTCGCAACCTTCAAGCGCGGGATCGCAGAAATCTCTTTCCAGCGTTGACCCAAATCAGCTTCTTGGTAAGCTAAGTTGATGGCATAGTTGTACTTTTACATCTGCTCAAAACGAAAAAATTTGGCTAAATGGGACCTCCATAGATAGAAGATATTTCGGGGGAACTCATCAAGCTTGGCGGGGAGGCTGCACATCTTGTGGTTATATTCACAGCTTGACCATAGGCATGGATCTCTTTGTTACAGTATAAAATGTATTGGGAGTTCTAATCATAGCACAAAATAAAATTCGGGCAATATCGAGTTCATTATGTGATAATCAATCGGGAAGTTTTATTTGAATGCTGGCTGTAGCTGAGGTTCTTTATGGGAACATAGCTGAAGCTGTTCTTAATTATTAACATATATATATGCTAAATTTTACGAATAGGAGCTATGCGAACCAAGATGTTCGTTCTGTTAGCGGCAGTCCTCGACGGGCAATATATGCGATGCTGCAGAAATAGAAATTCGATTAACAAAGGACCGAGGCTTGGCCTGACAGTACTGATGAAATTATGCAGAGAAAATCGCAATGTCCTCTTTCCAAACATACGCTGCCGGACATGACATTATTTCATTTACAAGATTTTAAATAAGACGACAACATCAACAAAGCCTAAAAAGCGCAGGTTTAATATTAGATTTCAAACAAAACTATCCATATCGTGGTAGAATTACAAATAAATTGGACTAGTTTTGTCTACAAACAAGCCCTCCATATGGCGTAGTGTATAATCTGTTTGAGGTGGTCCAGGTGCGAGGACACACCGGTCGTATTAGTGGTAGTGAACGTAAAATTCGAAACATTTACATATAAAAAAAACTCGCTGCTGCCACTAAATCGGTAAAATAAAATTACAGCCTTCTGCGGGTGTTATAAAGAAATATCGAATCGGCAAAGTATATGGAGTCGTTTTCATAAAAAAAATTTGCTTGCCTATTAAAATTAAGAAAAAAAACCCAGCTCAAAAAACAACGCGCTATGACTAACTAGATTTTAAAATTTTTTTTTTTACATTAAATTGTAAGGATCGCCTGTCCTTGCCTTTGACAGAACCGAGTAGAAGTATTGTGAAAAAGAACTGCGGCGAGGGCCTTTTACGTTGCCGGAGTTGTACGCTGAATGTCACAATACCACTCGTGCTAACGCAAACGGTGGCCTCGCTGTCTGCTACAGTCCAGAAACAATGACTCTTTCTGCAGGGAAGCAACGATTGTCGCAGGACATGCTTACCTAATCATCGACCAACTAAAACAAACCTGAGCAATTGAAATGTAAAATATTTTTGATGAGTGTCATTTTACTGTCGCTGACCTGAAAATATTGACCTTATAGGTCGTATAGGATTTTTAGTCAAGCATGTTCACCACATACATCTTCAGGAACGATCTGCTAAGTATAAATTTAGATTGAAATGGCATATTTCCGTCGGGATGAAAATTACAACGTATGCTCATAAAGGCTCAGCACTTCGGGAACGGAAAGTTAGAGCTTAATGAGTACTAAAAAGCAACCACTAATATATTTTTATATAGAGAGCTCTGAAATAAATTTTCATTACAGATTTCTAGCGATCATATTAAAAATGTGAGCCCATCCTGGCCGATCTTTACTACCTGGCATAAATGGTCTCAGAACGTTTTCCGACAGATCACATTTTCCTTTAAGCACCTCAACCATATCGTAGGCCATTCGTTATAATGGTAACAAATTTTTATAAATGTTGCGCCAAGCGTGAGAAACTGAAGACCGAAGAGAAACAAATCTAAATTTCTAGGAACTTTCGAAATCCTTCATATGTTTGGCTCCAATACGAGAGGCCATTAAGACCTAGTTGTCGAGTCAAAACAAGAAATTTGTAAGATCTATTTCTAGATATCCGGAGTAACCTCAAGCGAAATGATCCAGATTCAAATGCTTTACTACCACTGATGCTGACTATCTGAGGGTTTTTCGGTGGATCACGGCTTTGCATCACCATTTTATAGCGGCTGAGGTGTTTGTTGTCAGTTTCACTCCGCCGAATCCGAAAACATGCCAGTTAGAAGAAATCTATAATTGACACATAAAAGAGGCGATCTTGTCTGTGCGTTTTTGGATGGTATTGTTTAACACCTGCGTAGATTAGAGGAGAACTCTACAGATGTAGAGAGAATGCATAATGGTTGTAGTTATCTCCAAGGAAAAAAGAGGCATAAATCATTTAATATCGTCGAATAGAATTACGAAGCAGGGCTGTGTGTGTAAGCCTTCGCCAAGCATGCTCCTACGGCGCCGATGATATTCGACCGCCGGGCAAATAGCACAGGTTTGCGTCGGTAAATCAACGAAGACAACTCCACAAAATATTCATGGACAAAATCGAAAGAGCCTAACCTGGTTCAAATAATCTAAGCGAACCTAATCACCCGATACGGATAATTGAACACTCTAAACCAAAGCTACTTACCGTATCTCATTGGTCATTGTCAACACTTGTACATCTGCCGAAAGCATCAGCATATCACATCTATATAAATGGACACAGGTTAAGTAACGTAAGAACTAATCTTCTGTCATCTTCACGACGTCAGCAATGACTAACGACTATCTGTAGTACGAGCCAGATGGGATTCTGACTAATTTTCGGAATGCATACAAATTAACGCTATTATATTACGCTTTCAGTTCGATGATTATCAGCTGACTGCTGACCGGTCGTGTATGTCATCATTACATACAACGCTATACATCATATACAACCAACAACATTAAGATGTATTAGGCGCCAATCAATTTTGGCCCCCGCAGTAAAATCTTGATCTATTACATACATATATATATATGTCTTTCAGGTGGCTTTCTCCGCCAGTTAGGTGACAGTACTCAACAGGCCGGCGGAGGGCAAAGTGTACTGCATTTCCTGACAGGTTTGAGTGATAAACTCCGCAATACTGGTCGCTGACTATAAATGCAGTTTTAAACTCAAGTTGCCACTTCCTGATTTAGGGGTCTGATTATTATTCACTCGATAACAAAAAAAAAACCCAAAAGCGAGAGTACATTGTAAGTAGTGGACTCAAACAATGAGGGAATTAAATAAATACCTTGCTATACTGTTCAGTTTCACATATTTCTGATACCTGGCTAGAGTAGCC